CAGTGGGCTATCACGTCAATGTAAGACCTGAGAAGGTAAGTCAGTCAAGACCGTCACTAGCTTGCATTATGAGACAAAAGTAGCATAGTGTTGTAAACATTTGTTTTTTTGTGTGGTTGAGAGGAGAACATATGGCCACATTCTTCAGTTTTATGGTCCGCTTATGATACTTCAGTTATTTATACGTTATTATATGCACATGTCCTAAACCCCCATGCCATCGAAATCGTGAATTTGTTCAGTATAGTAGATGATGTTAGCACTTGATCGAGATTTAGGGCTCGTTTGGATAGGAGAAACGATTCAATTTCTCACTGGAATCGGAAGAATAATCAGCGCCAAACAGTCCGGCCGCGAAAGTGCGAAACGTTTCTCCCGTTACTCGTTTTTCTGCCCGCGGGAGACAAACGAGCTGAGAGCAGGCTGGTTTCGCTGATTCTCTGTTTCTACTCCCTCATATGCACTAGCGATTGGTTTTTTTCCCCTTATCCTTTTTAAGTGCAACCATTTTAAATGGGTTGCATTTAGGTTGTTATTTGCCCATTAAAAAACCAAGAATTTGTGAAGCATATTTTTATTTTATATAATTTTTTTATAGAAAAATATTTATTTAGGAAATAGAATCCAGCCTAACAGCCAAACGCTATAATGAAGTGATTCTAATTCACCACTTGAAACGTTTCTTTAGAGAATGTGAATTTGAAACACTCCTACAAGAATTAGAACCCTACCAAACGCCCAGTCATATATAAGGCCAGCTTACAATCTATTGTAGCATAGGGATTAGCTAGTGTCCAGGGTTCTACAAAGGCGGCCATGTGGACTTCGCCACCTGTCGGACATACTACTGTAAAAATAATTTTAAAAGTGTTTGTCTGAGACCGCCTCTATTAATTATTTATAGAGACGAGCATTCTAATGTGACAGACTTTGATAACAGACATTATGGTATTTGTTTTACTATTAAGGGTATATTTGGAACGTACAAATTTTACATGAATCATTTTAATTTTATAAAAAGTAGTAATAGGAATTTTTTTTTATCCAAACAAGCCCTAACAACGAGACTGTACAAAAGTCAAGCATCTATTTTCTGTAAACTATATAAAAGGGGGAGAATGTAATGGGATCCTTTTTTCTTGTGACCCACGACTGCGAATCTGCGATAGTGTATATATCGGTGTGTATGTATACAGTACCTTGGCAGCCACGCAATCGGGTTCCAACCACGTTGCTACTATTATAAGTAGAACGAGAAGACAAATTAAATTTGTCATGAACTTCATTTCGTGCCGCTCAAGCAGGCGAGAACGTTAACGTCCGTAGTAGTATATGCAAGTAGGTCGATTAGTCAATTGGAGTCTTCTCAAACAAACCGTACTTTAATTTCGTTGGCTAATGCAAATGGGTCGTAGTTTCTCTGTCGGCCGTCGTGAGGTGTCATGCAACATCGGCGTATTTGGCGTTACTGGTTTAGTGCGATCCTACGTGTGTACTATATTTCGTGCCCTGTTCGCTTGGCTGAAAATACTGTTAGCTGATTTGTTGTGAGAGAAAAATACTATTCATTAGCTGAAAAAATACGGCTTATAAGTGAAGCGAATATGACGTCGCTCGTTAACGCGACGAACAGAGACTAGCTAGAGTCAGTCAATGCGGTTATGCACATTGCATGTGTACTGACTCGTCTTTTTGTTTGCAAGGTTGTTCGTCGGTAGGCGAAGCGAGGAATATATCGTGTCGATTTGAATCGAATCTACGATGATTAGGAAACAGTCATGTCGGCCCAACGACCAATCAAACTACCGTAAAGTGGCCCAAGCCCATTGCGACATCACGTCAAACGGATCACGGACGAGGGAAGCCCAACCACCGGGACAAGCCAGGCGATCTGTCTGTCCACTGGGCCCGAGACCAAGAATAACGATTCTTTTTTTAAAAAAATTATTTACTGAAATAGCGAGGCTCGCCATTTCAAACGGGGATTTCTGTTCATCTATCGGCTGTTGTTTTACCTCTTAATCAATCAGTTTTCTATGGCTACGATTCTGTTGAGATTTGAGTTGTCTTCGGTGGCTTTTTTTCTTGTTGGGCCGTTTCAGTTTCTTGTTGGGCTGTGTATCAGCAGTGACTGGCCGCGCAGCCGCGACCCGCCGTGTCCGCGCCGAGCTCGAGGCACGTCGGGAACCACAGCTTCGCCGGACGCCGCGATGACTAGCTGCTGCCTTTCTGCCTCGTCCCGAGCTTCCTCGTCGTCGGTGCTGCTCGTGACCATACTGGACATGTTTCCCTAAAAAAAAAGATAGAATCGTATACTCCTACTGCTTTTTTGGAATAGTGCTCGTATGCAGACATGCAGTGTGAAAATGTGCCATGAACATGTTATATATATATATATATATATATATATATATATATATATATATATATATATATATATATATATATGGAGTATATAGGGAACAAAAATTGTTTGATCCCGATGAATAAGTATAGAATTGTTGGATCCCGATGAATAAGTACAGTACTGCTTGAGCACGTTGGCATTTGTAAAGGAAATGAGAATTCAGTAATCTGTTTCAGTACGTGGTTCTTTTGTCAGTTGTTCATTTGTAGAAGTTGTTATTTTATTTTTTTATAATAATTTGGTCTGATTCCGCACCTTTGAGTGAGGATGAAGCCAGATGTTTATTCCCATTGTCTTAAAAAAAGAAGTTGTTTTTTTTATTCAGTTTCAGCTATTATGTTTTTCGAGTGTCAGTGGTTCAATATTTATGTTATTTAGAAACCTTGCTTCATTGGAGTTAAATAACTTGTTACCTGGTACCTTTGCCATTTGTTTTTTTTTCAAGTGTAGTCTTTTGTGTCATCTTTTAAATTTGTCATGTAGATTTTAGTCAGATGTTTCCATTAACTTGTAGTTTATTTTATGCCTAGGGCAAGTTTTTGGTAATCTGATTCTATTAGTCGCTAGTTCTTTTTGTCAGTGGTTGAGTTTCAGAATTTGTTGTTTTGTTTAGTTAAGTTATTTTATTTGTTCAGTTTCATTTTCAGTTAAAATATTCTATTTAGTTTCAGTTGAATGAGTTCTGAGATTCAGTGGTTCATTTTATTTTTTCATTTTCATTTTTGAGGGGGAGGTTTAACTCTGGGGAAGGATCCAATGCCCAACTTATGTACTTACCGAGGCAAGAGCTGCAATCTCTCTTCTCCTTCCCTCCTCTTCTCTCGTCCTACTAGAGGAAGACTAAGATGTCGTCGCCTCCATGCTGCTCCACCACACTAAACCATGTTATCTTCCCACTACTAGTAGCACCGACCCTCTTACATAGTTGGAATGTGCTATTAGTTTTAGTCCAATGAGTTATGAGATTCAATGGTTTATTTTATTTTTCATTTCCTAGATGTTGTATTCTTATATGTTTTATTTTCTTCATCTGAGGCGTTTTTTTAATAATTTTTAGAACCTGCAGCACCTTTGTAGAAAAGATTAAGGCAAGATACCCCAATGAATCTAATTCATCCTCTAGGTAGAAAAGAACCGGAGAAGGGAGACATCGATCTTGGCAGCAAGGTTTTTTTTCTCTCTTTGTTTTTATTGGTCAGTTCAACCTAATTCAACCTTGTTTTTTTTCAATTTTGTGGATTTATCCTAGTTGTTAGGAATTTGAGAAAATTGATTTCACTTCGAATGGTTTGATATTTTATTTGGCTTCATATTGTGTTTATTTTTTTAAAAAAAAATTATAGGTTATTCAAAATAACCCCATATATGCACATGTGAAGCATGCTAACAAAATTCTTGTTGGTTTGAATTCTGCTAAATCATTTGTAAGGGTAAGTATAATTTTTAATTTGTTTCGGTATCAACTATTCTTAATCCTTAAAAGTTTTGTCTTAGTTTTCTTCTTTCTCATCATTTTTTTCTTGGCACTCAAGTTGAATCTTTATGTCACGTGAGGACGTGAGGTGCCTCTTTCCTTTCTCTCACGTGAATGGATCGGATCTTGTGGAGGTTAGTAGTAGGGTGTGATCCACTCATTGTTTAAGATCTGGTTGTTGGCAGTTTTAGCTCTTCAATCACTTTTTTTATTGTGCTTGGCTGATTAATTTCTGGTTGTTTTATTGTCCCATATCTTCCAGATTTTAAAAATCAGATTGACTTGTGACGTGTCAGTCTTTGGTTAGTTGAAAATCTGGTTGATTTAATGAAACAAAATCAACTGAAAGTTGTGTAGTCACTCCCTTTCAAACAGCGAGAGTATCCCTGCCTCCGTGGTATTTAAAAAAACATAACCCTTTTTTTTATATGATTGTTGTATAAGAACTCAATAAGATATAGGACTGTTGTATAAGCTATGAAGGACTTTTCTTTGTGTGACTACAAATCTGTCTTTTGGTGCATATCTTATTGTGTGTTAAACGTTGCGCATGTTCTTATAGATAATTCCTTTGCAAACCGATTCACTGAGTGAGCTGGGCAGCTCATGAATCGGTGCATCCTCACTGGAGAATACGGCATCGTAGCACAGGACAAACAATCGAATCTGAAATATGAATCGGTGCATGCACAATGAAATAGCACATCAGTACAAGGAATCCAACTGAAACAAACTAACCAACCGTTTGCCCAAGCCCAACTATCCGTTGTTTCTTTGCTATATATGTAGCCATCTAGAGTTACAAAATTTCTCCAAGCCAAGATCCCCAGAAACAAAGAGATACAACAATACTCAGCTCTCATCTCCGATTTACAAAATCAAAGCATGGATCCATCTTCATTGGCTAGCTTCAGAAGCCAGAACACCACTGCTGATGCTCTCTAAGTTATTCAATTGTAACAGGTTGCCAGTTTACCACGGCCAGCTAGCTAAAGGATGAGTAGGTTACGAGATCTCCTGGTACACTTATGCTTATTGAGTCGCTTCAACCAGCCACACGACAGAATATACAGAGACAAGCAGGACTTGCAAGGGCAGTCCACCTCTTATCATTTACATCTACTTGCTAATGGTAAAGGGTCCCAGCTTGGACAGATCTGGAACCCAGCATGACAGTTCTGATGATCCTGTCACGAACATCAAGGATCCTGGAGCCCACCTTACCAGTGGCGGTTCGTTATCTGTGCTACCCCAGCGTGCGACCTGCATGTCCAAGTATTACCATATATAAGTCAAAAAGATATACATATAAGTAATTTCAATATCAACATGACATTCTTCGGCACCTTTCCACTCCTAACATTCCAAGCATAAACACTACCATCACCAGAGCCTGCAAGAGAAGATCATAATGCATTGATAAGTAGAAGAGAAGATGGCAATGATTGCAAAGCGCACTAAGGAATGGTTTCTAACCAGATATGATATGGTTTCCATCAGGACTGAATGATGCCTCCAGTGTTGAATTGGTTACCACTGGCTTCACATTGTACGATGCAATCTAAAAGAAAATAATCATAAGAACTACATTTTACTAGTCTTATTAGTATGCAGGATATAAAGTAGAGTAGGTTGTATGTATGCTTACGCTATTGCCATGGAATGAATCTAGCACATGAACACGTCCAGCTTTAGTGGTTAACAGAATCCGTCTGCCATCACTGCTGAACTTTATGACATGGGCGTCTGAATCACCATTACCGACAGAGAAAATCTCAAAAGGCCCCTATTGACGTAACAAGTTAGAAGGGTTGAACACTAATAGCCAAACAACACATTCAATCACAACTACCTTTTCAAATTTTCGAGCATCAAACATCCTTATGTGACTACCATAGGCAACGGCAAATACCATGCCCTGATCATCATATGAAACTGCAGGCCTCCCTTGCACACGCAGTAAGCCCTGAAAAATCCATGAGATGATTTTGCCAATGACCAGCAATATATAGTAATTCAATTGCAATGCCATGCTCAATAGTCCCTCTTGATCCAAAATGTAAGTTGTTTGACACTTTGTCTAGAAATTACTACAAATTTGTTTTTTTTATATATAAGTGTTCTTATGAAGGAATTTTCATGATAATAAATCCAGTAACATCAGCCTTGTGTTGTCACTCTACATAAATTTATATATATTTATGGTCAAACCTGAAATGGTTTAAGCAGCAAAAATCCTAAAACGAGTTATATTCTGGATTGGAGGAAGAAGATGTTACGGAATTCTGATAAACAAAATGACCATGCCCGAGATAGTTTATTCTCTAATTTTACAAGGATGTCCGGAATCCAACATCCACCATCCCATAGGTAACAGAAAATCAGTAGGTAACAAGGGTTTTAATGATTCAGTTGCAACAATATTACATGTTTGGTTCCAAGTGATTCAAGGAATTTTAACAGGGAACAAATAATAAGAGGACAAATCTAAAATAGCTTTCCTCAGCTGAACTGTAGTTTGTTTAGTTGGCATAATCAGGTAGTGAAGCAGAATGTGAAGTTTAATTCATGTGACATAATTGTATACAACATCATTAGTTTTACCTGTGATTTTTCAGCCCGTTGATCCCATAAGAGAACAGTACGGTCGAGTGAACCAGAGAGAAAATTTTCTTTCTCAGAGCAAAATGATATGCAGACAACCCTGGGCAAAACAAAGCATATTAGCATCCTCCACTTTGCATTAGCATGACCAAAATATTAACTACTCCCTCCTTTCCAAATTACAGTTCACTTTGGCTTTTGTCTCAAGTCAATCTTCTCTAATTTTGACCAAGTTTTTAGAAAAGTATATTAACATCTACAAGAACAAATAAATGCACTATCGAGACATTTCATTTGATATTGTACATCTTAGAGCATTTTCCTATAAACTTGGTTAAAGTTAGACAAGTTTGACTTAGAAAAAAGCTAAAGTGACCTACAATTTGGAACGTAGGGAGTACAATTTATTTTAAGATAGTGTGGCATACCTGTCAAGGTGACCTTTAAAATATCTAAGAAACCGGTTATCATTCAGTGAGAGTAGACGCAGAGATTCTGCAATATTATTTATTTTCAGTACATGACATAAATCATTTTCAAATTAACATAAAAGAGGACTTACCATCCCAGCCGTTTTTTGATGAATATAAGACAATAGTTGGGTTATCAGTGAAACACACTAGTTCAACCCCATATTTTTTGCTATTAATAGTCTTCAAACATCTGAAAACTTAAATGAGTGAGAAACCAATACATATCACAAAGAAAGAAATAGTTTAGATGAAAAAATAAATCACTACAAAAAGGTACTGAATCGTTGTCATAAACTAAATCTTGTTGTGCGCAATACTATTTCAAACATAAGTTTCAAATATTAGACACTAAAATAAACTAATAAACATATACAGGAATTTGTATCAGTGCGGTATTATTGTTAGGAACTGAAAAATGAAGAGTAGATTCTACAGAACATCATTGAACACACCAACTAGCAAAATACTAGAATGTAACAAATTGCATCTTTTAAGACCAAAAAAGAATCAATAGTGACCCTATTTACTTAGAATAAATACTTCCGAAGACAGAGTAATGATTCACACTCACACTGCATTTTGAGTGTCATATAGGCGGATTGATTCATCATCGCTAGCAGTCACTAGATAGTTGGTAGCCTTGCTGTGAAAATCCATAGAACTAATTCTGCCATTCTGAAATAGAATTATGATATACCAGAAGAATCAAATGAGTATAGTTGTAGTATGTTAATGTACATTGAGCAGTTCCCTAAATAGAGACATGCATTTGAAAGGGATGGGCGTCAAAGATACGAGTCAAACAAACTTTCAAGTCATAGAACACACCATGAAAACCTTTTTATGCTACAATAGATTGATAGTGATGCTCTGCTCCAGTCTGAAATCTCAGTGCTATTATGTGCCAAGCTTATTGAAAAATTAATAAAGAGGGCACTTTATTCAACACATCTTGCATTATGTATATACAAAGTTGTATCAAGAAAATTGCAAGTACACCTAACGAATATGAACTCCAATTCCACCAGGCCACCACATATGGTAACACCATAACACGATTAATACTAATGGTTAAACCCATTAGGCAGTATATAGGGTCCAATGCAAGTTCCCAGCCCTTGCATTCAAATTCTTACAGCAATCTAAACTGAACTCTATACATTTTCAAGAAAGGTAAGTAAATTCAATAAGGGGAAAAAAAAAGCAACTCAACTCAATTATCAAGCTAGTACTGATTTCTAAAAAGTAACTTGATAGAGCCTGGGGTGTAGAACAGCAACAGTTTTAATTCCAGCAGGCGATTCCAGTGTGTAATTTGGGTGAAGAACAGAGGCTTGCATACCCTTGGAAGGTCAGCCTTATCTTCATGCTCTTGAGTACCTCACTGGTGTCCATGCTCACACCCTGGGCGGACTTGTCATGGAAACAACCCCCCCCCCCACACACACACACACACAGAAAAAGAAAAGCTGTGCCCGCACTTTAGTTGATCAGTTACCAAGGATATGGCCTTGAGCGCCAAAGAAGAACCTAACTAAACCATGGATGGACAGATTGGTAGCAGTGTAGAGAACTGAATGGAATCTGGGAACAACAAGCAAAGGAAGGAACTCTCACCAACAGAAGGAACGAACCAATCGAGATCGGGATGGATGGATTCAGATTAGTCGCTGCAAGCGAATCCGCAATAAATTGAGTGGGAATCCAGCCCTAAGAAGAACGGAATCCGTCCAAGCAAAAGAAAGGTGTGCTCACCAGCAGAAGTAACCAGCCAATCGAGGTCAGGATGGATGGATCTCTGCTTCACTAGGCTCAAGGGGTAGTGGCAGGAAGAGAGGGGAGGGGCCAGCAGACATCTGCTTGGCTGCACCACCATAGGACTCTTGAGGGCTATTTGGTTTGGAACCTTGTGACTTGTGAGCCTCACCATGGCTAGCATTTTGATTGTTGCCAAAATTGGTGTGCGCAGTACCAATGTCTGTCCACCAGTTCATTTCCAAATGGAAAATCATTTGCATGATGAGATTTTGGATGCGCAAATGGCCATGGAACTGGTGCAGTGGTGTCACCAAATTGGTTGCATTAAACTTTGAGTTTTTGTATTAGCTAGCTTCCATGGATCACATATTCACATTTCATAAACCATGAATCCTATTTGCAATCCATTTGCACTATTGCCTTCCCAACTATAAAAATTACATAAAGAAAGGAGTCCCCCTTGCTATATTCTAGACTTCTAGTAAGAAACAATAAATGAAAATTGAGTCATCATGTCAAAATCACAAATGTAGCAAGTTTTGGTATCACTGCAGTCCAAACACACCACTCTTTTGTCCAAGTTTGGCATCGCTGGCATTTTGGCATCATCAGATTTTGATAACGTTGACACGTGTAATGAACCAAGAAGTCTTTGGTTTATGGCGATATTGCTAGGTTTCAAAGGAGAAAATCAAGAGGAACTGGAAAAGGAGGGTAAAGTCACTAATTATTTGGGAGCTGGGGAAACAAGGTGAGGTTTATGTTTTCTGTTGGTTCAACCCTTAAAGATGTATTATGTCCTAACCTGGGGAAATTAACTATTTATGGATGTTAAGAAAGTTCCATGCTCACATGCCATTTTTAACAATTTCATCAATTTCGTTATCGCTGAAGATAGAAGGTTCCTAATTCCCACGCAACTTTCACCGCTTATTAGGCAGCAGCAATGTCATGTTTCTCCCATCATGGACCATGGAAGCATATATGAATTGGAGTGAAGAAGAGAGGTTGCTTACATAGTCCCGGAAGGCTAGGCCGACCTCCATGCTCTTGAGCATGTCGTCGGTGATCTCCATGCTCACCCTTGGCGGACTCGTCATGGTGGGCAACCCTCCAATATCTTCCGCGACCAAACCTTAATCTGCTACAGACAGGGTCAGTAAAGGACATGGGTACCCAATGATTTTTGCTAACTCGCGCCCCTCTAGCACGGGGGCGAGGGCCGAGGGCGGGGCAGATCGAGCAGCTCTGCTGCCACAGTGAGGACGGCGCGGCGAGTTCGGAGTTCCGGCCTGGGAGTGTGGTGGCGCGGCGAGCCCCGGTTGCTCCGGCGTGGGGCTTGGTCCAGCCACTCCGGCTCGGTGGCGAGGATGGTGGGGGTAGGGTGGAGGTCCGGCGCGGGGGCGTGAGGGCGCGGGGACCGGGGACGATGTCCGGCGCGGGCACCTGGGGGACGAGGCCGAAGCGTAGGGTGGTTTCTTGTTTCTGTGAGGAACAGGCGAACGGAGGAAGACGAAGCCGATATTTCTGCGCACGAGCAACTGGACCGCGGCCGCCGCGCCTGGACCTATTGGGCTACATGCTAGAGTCAAACTTACGAAGCCCAAGTGGAAGGCGTACAGCATCTGGCCTTTTATGCAACGCTTCTTCTCCCCTCGCCCATTGAGTTTCGCCGCTGTCCACCAATGGCTAACGCTCGACGCTCGACGCTCGACGCTCGACGCCGATGGCTAGCGCGGGGACTTCACCTCTTCGCCGCTGGGTCACTGCCTTGCTGGGAACAGTGCTGATGGACGAGATTTGTCCCTCTCAGTGTCGCAGCTATTGGCCAGCGACCGCTATCACAAGTCCACGACAATGGATGGGAACGATGTTCTATAGCAGGGGAAAAAAGGCAAGTAAAACTGATCCAGCCTATTTGAATTTGGTTCTTGTGTAATCTTCTGTAGCCCGGCAATCAGTTGATGATTGATGCTTTGATTCACACTGTTCTTTATTTTTTTTAGAACGTGCATTAGTCCGTGTATCATTAAGAAGACACTATTCTTTAATTGATAGTTTCACCTTTCAGTAATGAAAATTCCTTTGCTCGTATAATTGGAACACAAATTATTTTTTATATGATTGCTCTGTCATACAAATTAGTTAGTATAAAGTTCGCCGTAGGTGGACTTTTGTTCTGGATTCGCCACTGTGGGGACGATGTCCGGCGCGGGCACCTGGGGGCGAGGCCGAAGCGTAGGGTGGTGGCGGTGGGGACACCTTGTCGGGGAGTAGTGTTTTCTTTCTTATATATTAAAAAAAGAAAAAGATGTTGCAAGAGAGGTTGACATATGGGTCCCTCGAGGAGGGATGGATCCCACAATGATATGATAGTTTTGAAATATGCATCCTTCTCTCCACGTGCGCACACCAAACAAACAATTAGAAATGACATAACTCTCCACAAAAACACATGGTAAGATGATTCCATCTCAAATAAAAAGGAAGGGATCATCCTATTCCACGTTATTCCTTAATCAAACACACGTTAAGTCGACATGATCATCTTCATCATTTTGGTTGATGGGTTTGCTGTCTTCATAGGTTACGTTTTCATATCCACAAAAGTCATCAAAGTTGAAGGAGTTATTATTGGGATCAAGTTAGCTACAATAGCTACCTCTTGTCTTTGCACCACAACCAGGTAGGGTTCCCTAGCCACCGCCACCCCCTTGGTCCTCCTCCGTCTCCGGCATTCTCATTGACGGCGAAGAGGAGTGGCGATCCTCCTAGAGCTTAGATCTAGAATATAGTTTTTTTTGCCCCCTTGCAAGTTGCTTTCTAGTTTAGCCATCATAATGGTCTTTCTATCTTGCCACTTTAAGGTGTTCTTCGACCGTTGGCGTCTTCCTCTTTGAAGTCAAACACCCGTGCGTCTGGTACTGCATCCGGTCAATATCCAAGTCTCCATTCCTTCAAATTTGATCAACTTTTGTGAACGGCATCGACTTCAATTGATTTGTGGACTGTCCTTGAGCTACCTAGTGATAAGTTTGACTAGTGTGCACCACACCTAAGCCATTAGACTCACATAGGTAAGCTACTAGTTCATACCCCCTTGAATAGTACGGTCAAAGGGAAAAACAAAGGCCTAAACTACTCTAAGTGTCACTTCAACGCCAAATGACACTTAGAACTAGTCCGTCCTTAACCTTGTCGTCCATCATTTGAAAACCGAAACGATTTTCATTAATAGGGGCATGAATACCATTGATTTCCTAAACAATCGTCATTACCATGACCTAACTCAATTTGCCTCTACAAAATACACGTTAGTCACAGTAATCTTGTGTTGTCATTAATCACCAAAATCCAACTAGGGGCCTAGATGCTTTCACTCTTTGCCTCAGGTGTCACCTTGGGATGGATGGATTCAGATTAGTCGCTGCAAGCAAATTCGCATAAAATGGGAATCCAGCCCTAAGAAGAACGGAATCCGTCCAAGCAAAGGACAGGGTGCTCACCAGCAGAAGGAACCAACCAATCAAGGTCAGCATGGATGGATCTCTGCTTCATTAGGCTGAGGGAGGAGCGGCAGGAAGAGAGGGGAGGGACCGACAGACACCTGCTTGGCTGCACTACTATAGGACTCTAGAGGGCTATTTGGTTTGGAGCCCTATGAGCCTCACCATGGCTAGCATTTTGATTGTTGCCAAAATTGGTGTGTGGAGTACCAATGTCTGTCCACCAGTTCATCTCCAAATAGAAAATCATTTGCATGATGAGATTTTGGATGCGCAAATGGCCATGGAACTGGTGCAGTGGTGCCACCAAATTGGTTGCATTAAATGCTGAGCTTTTGCATTAGCTAGCTTCAATGGATCACATATTCACATTTCATAAACCATGAATCCTATTTGCAATCCATTTGCACTATTGCCTTCCCAACTATAAAAATTACATAAAGAAAGGAGTCCCCCTTGCTATATTCTAGACTTCTAGTAAGAAACAATAAATGAAAATTGAGCCCACATGTCAAAATCACAAATGTAGCAAGTTTTGGTATCACTGCAGTCCAAACACACCACTCTTTTGTCCAAGTTTGGCATCGTTGGCATTTTGGCATCATCAGATTTTGATAACGTTGACACGTGTAATGAACCAAGAAGTCTTTGGTGTATGATGATATTGCTAGGTTTCAAAGGAGAAAATCAAGAGGAACTGGAAAATTAGGGTAAATCACTAATTATTTGGGAGATGGGGAAACAAGGTGAGGTTTATGTTTTCTGTTGGTTCAACCCTTAAAGATGTATTATGTCCTAACCTGGGGAAATTAACTATTTATGGATGTTAAGAAAGTTCCATGATCACATGCCATTTTTAACAATTGCATCAATTTCGTTATCGCTGAAGATAGAAGGTTCCTAATTCCCACGCAACTTTCACCGCTTATTAGGCAGCAGCAATGTCATGTTTCTCCCATCATGGACCATGGAAGCATATATGAATTGGATTGAAGAATTGAGATTGCTTACATAGTCCCGGAAGGCTAGGCCAACCTCCATGCTCTTGAGCATGTCATCGGTGATCTCCATGCTCACCCTTGGCGGACTCGTCATGGTCGGCAACCCTACAATATCTTCCGCAACCAAATCTTAATCTACTACGAGACAGGGTCAGACCGCGGAGCTACCCTAGGGGCGTGGTGGGGCGGCCTCCCCAGCTACCGCGCGTGGACACCTTAGACCCCCAGACCCCTTCTTCTTGGCTTCTTCCTTAGCTCTGGCTGCCAAGTGCTTGACGACCAAGAGCTTCTGCGGCCAGGACATGGCAAGAGCGAGCGGCTATAGCCGATAGAAGAAGATAGCCAGTGTTTGGGCCTGTTTGTTCTCAATTTGGTTTAGCCCAGCATTGGCCCATTGAAGCCTAGCAGCCATCCCCAATCGGTCGACCCAAAGGCCTCAAGCCTAGTTGATCTACATCGAGGCATCATGCATCATGGCCGGTCGCCGCCCGTCACAAGGTGCCAGTCGCTACCGCCTGCTAGGTGCCCGAGCGCGAGGACCAGCCGAGCTCCTGAACCAGCGCTTCAGCCCTCCGGCCGCCGGCCAGCAAGGAGCAGGAGCGAGCACCATATAGGAGTGACCTGTGTCGGTGCGGCCCACCGGTGTCCAGCGGAGTTGCGAGCGGACATGGTCACCGTATAGGAGCAAAGGAAAGAACTCGCAAATAAAAAGGAAGGGATCATCCTATCCTATTCCACCTTATTCCTTAATCAAACACACGTTAAGTCGACATGGTCATCTTCATCGTTTTGATTGATTGGTTTGTTGTCTTCATAGGTCATGTTTTCATATCCACAAAAGTTATCAATGTTGAAGGAGTTATTATTGGGATCAAGTTAGCTACTATAGCTACCTCTTGTCTTTGCACCACGATCAGGTAGGGTTCCCTAGCCACCGCCACCCCCCCCCCCCTGTCCTCCTACGTCTCCGGCATTCTCGTTGACGACGAAGAGGAGTGGTGATCCTCTTAGAGCTTAGATCTAGAATATAGTTTTTTTCCCCTTGCAAGTTGCTATCTAATTTAGCCATCATAATAGTCTTTCTATCTTGCCACTTTGTTCTTGGACCGTCGGCGTCTTCCTCTTTGCCTCCATTGTCGCCTTGATACTGCAATGTCTCACAAGACCGGTCCAACTTAAAGGCTGGTTAGTTTGGTCATTGATGTCACAAATCTAATCTATGCAAAAATGATGCATAAATTGAAAACAACAATCGTTAATAAGATTTGACAAAATCGTTAGTAATATCTTTATTAAGTAATAACACAATTCAGGGGGCTTGTCCCGACAATACAAGAATTTTACATCATTAGTAAATATCTTGCGACAACCAGTAATTCCTACTACAGTCCTACTCCAAGCATCGCGCTTCCTTTAATAATCCTCATCAATTGTAATCATGCATCGTCGTGTCTTTCTGCCGCCCGCACTCGCGTTGGACCATTGTCTCTGCTTGAAGTTACCCTGAAGACTATCTTAGTCGCTTGCATATCGACCGCCGATCGATCGCCCTGAGACTAAGGCCTCGACTCCTCGACCTTGCCTTGGATTGATGCTCTTGTATCAGCTGGGAACGAACAACATTGCCTATGTTGGATGCAGCCTTGCCCTGCTGCTCGGTCTTCGGACGGAGTCATCGTCACCAGAGGAGGCGGAGGACGACGAACACAATGGCGGCGACGAAGGTGAAGAATCGTCGTCGGCGCGCTTCCTCTTAAGCTCATGGATATTCGGACCACGAATCTTCTGCATCACGTATGACGGCAGGTCCTTCCGCCGGACGTGCTTGACGACCAACTCCAAGCCGGGCCTCCAGAACCTGTATGTGTAGACGTCCTGCAGGAACTCGTCCGCCGTCGCACGGAGGTCAAACTGCGGCTGCTGCCCTTGCGGCGGGGACGGCTTCTGCTGCTGCTGTGGCTTCGACAAGCCCACGAAGAAGGAAGACGCGCACCGCAAGCCGTGTGGCTCGGCGTCGTAGGCGCGCGGGTTCTGATGGCATAGCAGCTTGCCGAACGTGTCCCTCTCGACCTTGGCCACCAGCTGCCGCAGCCGCGACTCCACCCACCCCTTCCACTCCCGGAGCTCTTCTTCGCCTCCCGCCACCATCGCGTCCACCTGCAGATAGCTCTTGTGCGTCCTGAAGAACGGGAACGGCTGGAACAGCGCGCCCCAGCAGCGACCGCCGGCGGCGGTGATCTCCTGGCACGCGACGTGGCCGGCCTGGATCTGCTCCTTGATGATCCGCTGCGTGGCCTGCGAGACGTTGTAGGTGCAGTTCATGCACGGGTACGCCGGCGTGATGACGGGCATGAGGTGGGTCCGGTCGCGCGGATCCCTCCGCCCGTCCCAGACGGGGGGAGGCCGAGCTCGGCGTCGTGCTCGATGTCGCAGAGCATCACCGGGGTGGGCCACCTCCACTGGCCGAGCACCTTGAAGAAGCGCGACACCAGCATGCTGGGCGATGCGTTGGGGTAGAGCTGGCACACGCGCGCCACCAGGATGGACCACGCCACGCCGCCGAGGAAGCCGGACACGTTGGAGTACACGCCCCGCGCCTTGGCCCACAGCTTCACGCACCGCAGCGTCGTGCGGAACGCGGCGGCGTCGGGGACCAGCCGCAGGATCTCGTCGGCCACGCGCACGCCGTTCATGCTGCGGGCGGTGACGTGGTCCAGGCCGCGGAGTACGGAGCGGTCGCTCAGATACAGGTCCCGGGGCACCACGGGGAGGTTGGCGCTGGCGTAGACGAGGTCCACCTGCACGCCGCGGAACCTCAGCTTCATGACGGGGACGTGCGCGCCGGGCACGGGCTGCAGGTCCGTCACCGCCTCCGTCTCGGCCAGCGCGTCGGCCAGCACGCCGAAGAAGTCTTGGTCGCGGTCCACGAAGGAGGGCCCGACGACGAGTGCGTCGATGTCGGAGCCGCCGCCGTGGACGCCGAGGCGGTAGGATCCGAAGGGGAGCAACAGGGCGGTGGCCTCGTCGACCATGGCGTCGGGGTACCCATGCTTGAGCGTGAGCTGCTTCACCCAGAGGTCCACGATTCCCTGGAGGTCGCGCAGCACCTCGGCGCGGACCGCCGACTCCTCGGGGCTCTCGTACATCCCCGCTTCACGCAGGACCTTCTCCAGCTGCGCCGTGGACTCGAGGTCGGCGGGCGTCGGGCCAACCAGAGAGATGGGCTCGCCGAACATCTGCTTCGGCTGGGAAGCCATGGCCATGCCATGCGTGATTGCGAGAGAGCGAGGGCCGGCGATCGTGCAACAAAGAATGAGCGTATACGAAGGGTACCGTCCCTTTTAATATAGGAAGTATTTCCCCGTAAGCGCTGATCCGATTCCTGATCGTGGTCGAACTGAGCCTTGTCGGAATCGACCACCCAAGCGCCCCGATTTCTGGTCGAACTGAATATTGTTGGAATCGACGAGTTCCCTTTGTCTCGATCAGATTTGGCCCACAGAATCGGATTCAGGGGTGAACGCGTACCTAGCATATGCATATTTGGGTATACAATACAGTAACAGTATACCCATGTACGCCTAGTATTCATCTAAGCACGTTGAAACAGCCCTCTGCACGTGTGTTTGCGTATAGGTTCTCCTTTTACACCCCGAGTCTATAATCGAATTCAGGGATGGACCTAGCATATATATGCGTACGGGTTTGCATATAGTTTTTTTTAAGGTTTTTTAGCATAAATGCATGTAGCTTATGGCCTACTCTCTGAATTAAATAAATAAAGGTAAACGTGTCTAAGGAGTCAACACGGATCAAAAACAGTTTAAACAATGGAATTAAACGATAACTAAACACATCTACGAATTGTTCTAATTATAAGTAACCAAGCTTCATTCTTGTTAAGCATGCATTCCATATAGCGTCATGTAATCAAAAAAAAATATTTTCGGAATTGAAAGATCAAGCTGAGTAGAAGCCTAGTTGTTTGTGCGCTATCGGACGACTTGGCAATGCCATGTCATCCATTAACACGACTGAGTCAAATAGTTAAACCTCGTGAGGGTTGGACAGTCCAAAATCGACCTATTGTCCATTTCTTCTTTCCATGGCCCCACTTGTCAGCTAGGACGTACACAACACCACTCTACACCCTACCTCTCTAGGACACAAATGAAAAGAAAACAAGAAGGGGGAGGAGATTTGATGAACCTTGCTAAATTGTTTGAAACTGGAGAATTGAACTTGTAAAGACTCAACTATGCTATGACCACTTGATACCCCAAAGATCCTAAGCCCAAAACTCTTAAAAAGTTTAGGCTGAACAATTTGATTAATTGCAGTTTTAAGATTTTTTCGCTAAAGCTCCAAACAATAGGTTGATTAGGGTTGTTGATAGGGTTAACTAACTTTTTCGCTAAAGCTCCAAACAATAGGTTGATTAGTGTTGTTGATAGGTTAACTGCTTCAAATCGGTATTCTTCCATAAAAGACAGCTTCATTTTAATTAGAAAGTGTGGTTGTCGCCCATGAGATTCTCCATGGAGTTTACACAAACAAGAAAGTGGTATTGTTCTTAAGTTAGACTACGAAAAGGCATATGATATGGTGAGTTGAGAGTTTCTTTGTGATATCTTGATACCTTGGAATCCATAGGCTTTGGTGCCAAACGGAGAGGTTGGATAAAAAGAAGTGTTGAGACGCGGAGTCTACATATGTTAGAATCAATGACGAAAATATTGTGTATTTCAAACATAGTACAAGTCTGAGATAGGGTGACACCATGTGTTCTCTCCTTTTGTAACTGATATCTTTACTAGAATGCATTTTAAAGTAGCTAGACATAGCTCAATCACAGGGCTTATGCATCAAATGAGGAGGGGGTGTATCAGCCTTAAGTATGTTGATGATACCCTCCTATTCTAGAGAACAACTTTGAGAAAGCAAAAAAAAATGGCTGCTACTTTGTTTTTAACAGATATCCGTTATGAAAATAAACTATGATAAAAGTGGTCCAATTAGTGTTGGTCTAGATGAGGATAGGTTCAATGAATTTGTTAAGCTCTTTTGTTGCAAAAAAAAAAGGTGAATTTACTATAAAATACTTCGGGGTCCCTCTTCTTTTACCAAGTTAAAGAGGGAGGACTTATATCCTGTGATATACAAAATTATAAAGAGTGGCAGGTTGGACGGGTAGGTTACACTCCTGTGTTAGGAGATTTGCACTTCTCAAGTCATGTCTAGCCAGTATATCTATTTATGTACTATTGATTATCGTAAAATTTCCAAGATGGACTATTGATATCATTAACTTTCAAATGGCACACTTCTTATAGAAGTTTGTGATGGAGAAAACTTGAGACTAACTTTTATAAGGAATGTTTCTGTGGGGCTAATGAACTTGTGGCTTGAGTTTGTGAATATATAGTGGAAAGTATTAGTTTGTCTCCTAAGGAAGACCACATCATTTGGAGCTTGGTTGTCTAGGTTTTTGTGCAGTCAATATGGAAAATCTTAATTCCATCAAGAGTACATTTTTTCTTTGTTTATTGTCTAATAATAGACTTAACTGAGGAATAATCTAGCTAAAAGAAGGAATGTGGATGATCCAACCTGCTTTTCTGTTCAAAGATGGAATGTGACTACTCATTTATGTTAGTTAGCTTGGGGCATGACTTTGATTATATGGCACGCCTTTGGATTGCTAACAAGAAAAACATGCAATAACAAACTGTCCAGCGGTGCTTTGATGTTATGCAAACTGCAAAATTAATTTTGCTTTCAAGGAGCAACTTGGTTAGGGGAAAAGAGCATGATGCTTGGATTATTGAAGATGGCTCGCGATATTAAGTCAGTGATTCCGGAGCTATTGCAGTTTATAACAGAGCTAGAAAGCAAAGGCTACCATTCTGAGAGACGATGGAACACAACCATCAGGTTTAGCCATTTAGAGCATTTCAGCGGTCCCCCAATACCTCCTATTGCCTTATAAAGTTATCATATTGAGGGTAACTATGTTTTTTTCTCCGACAACCAATAATTATGTCAGTCTCTTCTTAAATAGGGGGTGGAGGTGGGGTGTACATCTCCACCAAAAACATGTAGTTCACCTCAATCATCGCTTCTCAACCATCTTCTCACCACAAGCAAGGCTCTCACAAGCAACCTCGGATGCCTTCGTCCTCAGGCTTACTTTATTATTTCTCTCCTACCTTATCTTCTCATCTCACTTTTCCACCACCGCCCACCCTCGCCTGTATGGCGTCGCTGATGGCCAAGGCATGTATACCACCATTCACCGCTGCTGAACGGTTTCTTTGGCTTCTCGCGTGGTGAGCTATGGCTGCCTTCCGCAGCTAGTGTGATTGAGTGAGCTCCGCTCCGCCCCCACCCATGGTCGTACACACTGGATCTCCACTTGATGCACCCCGACCAAGCTCGTCACCGGCGATGGCTTCCACGTTGGCCGGTTCGACCACCACGCGGTTCGTGCCACGGCTCCTGGACCTGCGGCCACATCGTGCACGTGTGGCGCTCCCGCTCCTGCCACCACCATCTCCACTCACCTAGTGGCGCTCCCACCCCTATCACCGAGTTCTCCACACCGATGCGGCATGGTCCACGGTGACTGCTCCCGTGCAGCGTTCTCCACCGCACCTAGCTACCCGTCTGCCGCCATCCTCCCTCTTCACTGCACCCGAGCGCCGCTTGCTAGCTAATGCAATTCTCCACCAGGTAGGCCGTTGTTGACGGTCACTAACACCCATTTTGACCATCAACGTTTCACCCAAAAGTATGAAAAAGTAAGGTAAATCATCATCACATGTGTAGAATTTTGTTTATAATTCACCTAGTTTCACTTGTGTTTGTAGAATTATTTGTATGCAAGAAATATGGCAAAATTTGGCCAAAATGGTGACAAACATGGACCAAGAAAGTAAGTGGACGTGACAGGAGGCCTTATGCCCACCACCCGCCCCCCCAAGTGGCCCTTCCATGTCATTGATCTGTGGGAGCTACTCTAGAGCCAATCACAAGCTTCCATTCAAGTCGGTTTGATCAACGGATAAGATTTGTTCACGGTGGATTCATGGGCCCATTGTCATAGACTTGGGAGCTCTCCATCGACTAACCAACCGACTTACCTGCCAAGTTTCACCATGTGCTGGCTTCACAACCGCCTTGGAGGAGCAACCAGCACCCTTGGATGCAAAGGCGGTGCATCCAAGGGCCGGCCAGCACCCTACTGCCGCCACCCAGCGCCCCCTACCTCCACCGACCTCCCTGCTACCTACAAATACCCCTCCCCTCACTATACACTATAAATAGTGGGTGCGGCTCTCGTGAAGAAGTGCCCCATTCATTTTAAACCTCTCCAAGCTTCTCTTAACTTCCTAGCTTAACATTAGCTATAGAGTAGTAGTCATGTAGTGGAGTAGAGCAAGAGCGGAGTAGCTCTCGGAGTCTAGAAGAGTCTTCTGGTTTGTCATAGCTCCTTTGTAATTCTTTCATTTCAGTATTTACTTTATTCAGTATTTATTTCAGTACTTTATTCTAGTATTATTGCTTTGCTTTGCTTTAAGTACTTAGTCATTAGTGTTCATCATTAGTGAGCTTAGGTGCTTGTTGTTTGGCATTAGTAGCATAGGTTATCTTCTAATTAGTAGTCTTTCATTAGTGCCGGTTCCACCGTCTAGTTAGGGTGCTTTGATCTTATTTCATCGGAGCTCGGATCGAAGTAGTAAGCCTATAGATTAAGCGTGGTGCTTAGGCTATAGATTACCTATGGATACGGCTAGGCCTCCGGATAGATTATGGTAGGTGGCAAGTGGTGACAGCCTTGTCCATCCTCTATATTCCACCACGATAGGTCTAGTTATTAAATCGTAGGGCTCGTGGCAGACCTTGCCTATTTAACTCTCTTAGTTAGTAGGCGGGCTATGCCCCGAAGTACTATCGTATTTCTCCTAGTCATTTGTGTAAGAAAAATGGACCCTAGGCCCATTTACTTTAGATTTTGGTGTTTGATGACCAACACAACTAAATTAGACTAATGAATTTGCAAGTAATTGTTTTGTTGTTCAATAGGGTGCAAGACGTGACTTGGACGAAGGCGACATGATGATCCCACGATCAACACCATAAGCAAGACCCTAGAAGCACAAGAGAAGACCCAAGATATAAAGCAAACTCCAAGCACGAAGATAGGAACCAAGCCGGACGCAAAATCGTGAAGAAACGAGCTCCAGAATGATGATCGGGCTCGGCCTAGAGTCCGATCAACGCGCGCGCTCCAACGGTCGGGACGATCAGGCGCGTCCGGTCAGGATGACATCAGCGTCTGGTCAGTAGCAGAAAGGTGGGTTTCGTCCCCAACGGCTACTTTCTCCATGGGGCTTATAAATAGACCCCCAACCGGCCATTTGAGGAGTAGAGAGTTGAGGAAACATACCAAGGGTGTTGATACACCATTTTAGTGATCTCCACTTGCATAGTGCTTAGTGATTCATTAGGTGATTAGCGTAGGTGCTTTGCGAAATGCTTAGGTTGTTTAGACAACCACTTATGCGCTTGCTTTAGGTTTAGACCTAGTGTTTAGTGAGGTTTGCATACCTCTTACCACTCGGTGCTTGCGCGCACCATTATTGTACATCGGAGGGGCTTGTAATCTTGCGAGATCACACCAACCGCGTTTATGGTGTGGCCACCACCGTGTATCGGAGGGGACAAGGCCCACGGTGTTTCGGCTGGAAGCTTGATAGTGAAGACGGCGGGGAGCGATCCGGAGAGGCTTTGCCACGAGTGGCTTAACCGGAGACCCGCTTACGCGTGGGGAAGGCCCGGAGCTATTCACGGAGTTAACCGACCGGGAGCTTGGCCCTTGCGAGGGATTCCTTGCGAGGGGCTCCAACGAGGACTAGGGGGAAGCTTGCGCGCTTCTCGATACCTCGGTAAAAATACCGGAGTCGTCGACGGGAGTTTGCATATCTCTACCTTACTCTTTAGCTTCCGCATTTACATTATTTGCATAACTCCTTTTGCGGTAGAGATAGCAACACACTAGCAAAAACGTAATTGCACATTTAGATAGTTTATCTTTTTGCATAGGTCTTGCTAAGGTTGGAAAAAGATGCCATAGTTTAGAGTTAGAGTTTTAAGTTGCCTAATTCAACCCCCCCCCTCTTAGACGTCACGGACCATTACAATTTGTTTACTCTTAGTTACTAGAAAGATAAAACGCTCGCTCTCCCACCTAGCTATCTCTAGGTTAGCTTGTTAGTAGTAGTTAGTTTAGGTAGTTCACATTCACCCTTCACTATCGTTCACCTACCTAGGATCAACCTTAGCCTTGCCTTAGCAAATCCTAGTCCAATTATAAATTCTAGCATTCCGCCTTCCTTCAGGAAAAATATAAATTCGACACTTGGTACTCACCGAGCAAAAGTGCTACGTGATAGTTCTGTGCGCTTGCGGAATCCACCAATAGCCGTTAAGAAATATCAACAGCCGTGGACGCCAACGATATCGTGTTTCAAGTGCTTCGACATATGTTTTCAAGTGTTTCATTTGGATGTTACGTATGTTGCAATGGCTATATACGCATGTTGCAAGCATATGTTTCAGGTATTTTAAGCGTATGTTTCAAGTGTTTCATCTGTATGTTGCAGAAGTAGATCTGGAATGTTGCATAACATGCATGTTACAAGCGTATGTTTTCAAGTGTTTCAGATGTTTCATACGTATATTGCAAGTGTTTCATATAGATGTTGCATATACTTGCAATGACTTTTCAAGTGTTTTACAAATGTTTCAATCGTATGTTTTAGGTGTTTCAACTGTTTCAGACGTATGTTGCAAATATTTTATCTGGATGTTGCAAAAGATACGCCGCATATGTTGCAACGAGACCCACCTACCGCTAGGGCACCGCCATGTATCACCCCACAAGCAACGCACAAGTGTGCGCGGCATGATAAACATAGCGGCGTTAGTGGTATGGAAACGGAGCAGCACGGGGCGGCCTGCGCCTGTGCGAGCAAATCCCACGTATGCATAGGCTAGGACTAGGAGCAGTGTCCGGACGCATCCTGCAGCCAGACATCCAGGCGCTGGCTGCCCCGCAACTGTAGACTTTCACAGTAGCCGTCAAAATAATATTGGGCTAGCCCAATAGACAATAGTCACTACTGAAGATAGAATATTGCGAAAACGGTGAAGGTGCTCTTAGAATGATTGAACAAGGCGTCGACGGTTTCCTGAAACTAGGTGATAGATACCTCTAATACATGCTGACAATGACCCAACTACTGTCGTTAATTAGTCGGGACCCCTCAATATTACACGTGAAAAGCATCACCTGATAAGGTGATACCTTTGCTATACAAAAACCAAGCTGTAGCTGTCTGGCTCTTGGCTACGCTTGCTATACATTTCCAATAGCAAAATTTACAACATATTATTATTTACAGTTTGGCCTTACAAAACCTACCAAATGCATCTACCGTGCAACCTATTGTGCATTCAAACGAGAACCTTTAAGTTCTCGAAAAAGAATGCACATCCTTATTTGTCAGATCCAACAGGCCACCAATCTCAGCTACCTTGTCGACAAGAAGCCTCAGCATAGGTATTGTTGAAAGCGTTCCACGTGATCCAACCATGATGAGCTTCTTCTGCACGTATAATCACCAAAACAAGGTAAAATTTATCGAAATACAGAAGGCCTCAAAGAATTATGCCTGGCTTAACCAAGCTAGGGACATCTTTAGGCTTTTCAGTGAATTATCTATAAGTACAATAAAAGTGGTCCAAACATTTTTATCGTATCATGCTGCATATCTCCATTACCCAAACAAAAAAAGACAATTATGTCTAGTAAATAATGTTCACAGTGTTTAAAGTCCATGATACTTCTTAAAAGAAGACAGTTTGGGGGAATAGTTGATACAGGGAACCACATTCGCTGCAAGTTACCTTTGCACGTGTCAACAGAACATTGATCCTGTGCCAATCACCAAGCAGAGAAGAACCACAAGCCCTTGAGTTTGCAGTGGAGCGCACGAAAGATACTATTATACACTCCTTATCCCTGCCCTGAAACAAATTGAATTCTTCAGCCAGAAGACCATGCAGAGGCCTCTTTTGGAAGATCAAGTTACAAAAGTGACTCTCAAAACCACAAACAAAAACAGGGTTGCTCTCAAATCTCAAATCTAGACTGTTTTCATTAGTGCAAGGACAAAACATAACAATGACCTGATGAAGCAACTATTTTCTAGTGCCAAAATATGGGCCCCTGTTTTCCTGTGAGAAACATGCTAATGACACTGATTCTTGAGTAAGCATTCTAAGCTTGGCTACTAGACAATATTACCAAAGCACAAAATACATAACTAATTAGGATGGGAATGCAACTAGCATGCTATTCCAATTAATTGTTAACACAGAATGTCACTGCCACTGTATGCAAAACCAGCAACAAAAGTTCAACATAATAAAAGACTCAGAATAATTGTCAACCTGGTATTTATCAATTGTGTGAACCTCAACCAAACCATCAGTGCATTGCTGAATGATATTCACTTGAGCATTATATGGGGTTATGGTACCAATAGCATCTTGAGCTACACCCCTTCTTAGTAATTCTTTGATGATCTGCATAAAAGGCATAAATTTCACTAGAATAAATAACTAAATATATTTGTATCAGGAAGTTGGGGTATGTGCACGACATATAAAACACAAAGGGCATGTTCGCTGGTTGATGCTGATGCTAATTTGGGCTGGCTGGTGCTGATTTTTTGTGAGAGGAAAACACTGTTGGCTGGCTGGTTTGGGCTGGCTGAAACCAACAAACGAACAGGCTGAAAGCTTATTAAATCTCCAAGACAGTTCAGCGGAAACAGCTTGACACCAACAAAAGTTAAAATTGACATTTTAGCGCCCCTTCAGCCATACAGCCCAATTCACATCCAAACATATCTCAGTTGCTTAAAATATTGTTAGCCCAGTAAGCACAAACATACATTGTCATTTACTAAGTGTGTATACCACTTGGACAAGATAAAGAAATAAAAGATTATTGTTCAAGAATAGACAAAGCAACTGCAGGCGCACTCAGCCAGACAGCAGCAGCATGTAAGCAGGCGTATAGAGTATAGATAGAGGTGTAAAATATGGTTCACACTCAATACTACCACAGATAGATCACCACATACCCATGAAATAATGTGAGCTTCTGTAGGATTGTTCACAGTTCTGTGTTCCTTTGCCTCAAGTGCAGGTATTTGATCTGCAGAATTGCATGGTTAGCCTTGAAGCTGAAAGCATCATACTGGAGTAACTAATTGATTTAGACAAAAACCTGTGTTGGCGAAGATCACAGCCCTATCAGGATTCAAGATCTGCAATTAAAAGTTAGACAGAAGTGTTAAAAAGGATGCTGCTGAATTATGACCATCTCTGGGCCATGGAGTTTTCTAAATTGAGAAATCATGGAAATTTTAGGAAAAGGATTGTTACCTCTTTTAACTTCAAGTGCACTCGTTCCCTACCAGAAAACTTGAGTTTGGCATTTGCAATTTCCAATGAACCACAGCACAACCTATTGCCGTAAATCAACGAATTTGAGAGCTCCATGATACCAGATGACATACGGTACTACAACAAGGCAGTTACAAATAGTGAGTTCTGCTGGTACAAGGGGCCATCAACTCAGCAGGAAATAAGTACAGTTAGTCAAGATCGAAATAAAAGATGGAGCGTTAAGAAAGACCTGGCATCGCAGTGCTGAAATTGCCTGAGGATGTGCTTCTGACAACCTCCAGAATAAGCTGATGCCCATCCCATTTTCTCGGGCTTCAGAACTCTATGATCGTTTAAAAACTTAAAACAAAGCAAAGATGGCATAAAAATGAGAAAATAGGTACATCAGCAAATAGGATACCTGAACAAGTGGAGGAAGTTGATAATGGTCTCCTACTAGAACAAACTTTGTTGCAAGCATCAAAGGTCCCAGTGAAACCTGACAAGTTCAATAAAATAGTATGTAAGATAATATAAATGGACGAGGATATGGACCTCTTTGGGGATCATTTTTACAGAATTTTCTGGTTAGGAATTGGTCCAGCTACTAAGGTTTTTAAAATATAGTCCTCTAGTTAAATGGGCAGCATGCTTTTTTATTTTCTATTATATCATTTAACACCAAACTAACAAACGTTGCTACTTAACCAACCAAAACAATTACCAAGTATTCCGAATTTGTCCTTACAGGCAATGTAATTTGTCCAGCTTCATCCATGATACATGTGTCAAACTTCTTATGTGCTAATAAAGGATGATACATTCCCAAACAAGTAACTCCAACAACCTGCACTTGCTCCATCCTTGCTTTAATGGCATCAACCGATTGTGCCTCAGTTGCTGTTCCACAAACAAAACAAAAAAAAATCAGTTTCTTTCTACAAACTGCAGGTACATTCATAAAGTTTTAGTTCTGACTTGACAAGCAGTGGGCCCTGACATCAGGATGTACAGCCTCAGGCCTTCCAATCCGAATAAAATCCACACCCTACAACAATATGAGGCATTAATCAGAATAAAGTGTATTCAAGTTGTAGTTCATTACAATTGATCGCTCAAGGTAGCTGGCAATGTTGCGCATTGGAATACAATCGATTGGATTGAAATGCAAGCAAAAGTACATACTACATTAAGGGAAGAACACAAACCTCAGTCTTCAGCTTCATGAGCAGAGTATCAATAGCCGAGTTAGTATATGAAGTTAGCAAAATAGATTCCCCTCTTATCAATAATGACTTCACAGCATGCACCATTGTGTACGTTTTGCCTGTTCCAGGCATTCCTAAAATAAGAGCATAATCCTTTGCTCCTAGAATCTGAAAGCAACATATGCATTAGTATGCAGAGTAGGCAACTAGACATGAATATCCAGGTTACAGAAGGGGTGAAAAAGTGAAAGACAAAAAGATTTACTTTATGCAGTGATCTTTGTTGGTCATTATTCAAGTTTGGTAGCGACCTTATGTATGATAGTGCAGGATCTTGGCTAAACAGCCCTCCACTATCAAACCTGGGCGCCTACAGTACAGACATCCAAATTAGGAAACTCCAGACAAGAAAAAAGGGTGTAGAAAAAATGTCGTTAAATGAATATGAGTATGAACAGACCTCAAGATCAACAATCAACTTGCGTAGTTGAGAGTTTTGTGGATTCTGAGCAAATAGTTGGACAAGGTTGAGTCTAGCAACATTTCAAAGTGAACTCAAATTAGAAAGGTTGGACTTTTGTAAATCACCCATCATCAAAAGGGTGGAAGAAATCAAATAAGAACAAGGGCTAACCTCATTATTGCAAACGAAGAACTAAATTCATCCTTGTCTATCCGCCAAATTTCACGTGTCAGATCCTGTTGCTCTGACAAGGAATTGCTATCTGGAATTCTCAAACGGCGTGGCAAAGAGACCTAAATAGATTCAATTGGAAATGCTTATATTCAACCTAACAAAATTAAATGGACAAAATAGCTGAAGGTTTGTTACGGTCAAGTAATACCGTTATGTGGGAGTGACTTATTTCTCTTATAGATCCATTTGCAACTGCTATTCTCCCAGACTGAGTGCTAAGCACCTAACAAAACAGCAGAAGACATTATAGAATATAAGACTTCATTAAAGGGGGACCCAGTGCAGAGAGCTCCCGCTCTGTGCGGGGTCTGGGGAAGGGTGTTAGTGGCAAGCCTTACCCTCGCCTGTGCAATGCGAGGAGACCGCGACTCGAACCCGGGACCTTCCGGTCACAGGCGGTAAGACTCTACCGCTTGCACCAGGCCCGCCCTTCAATATAAGACTTCATTATGGCATCAAAAATATCAGTGGCAATGTCCATGCACCATCATTACATGGCACTCCCCTAATCCAGTACCTTGTATGGATGATTGATATTACTTAATATACCACAGCAGCAAAAGTTCAAATCAGAATCACATATTATTATCTTACATAGGATGAACATGTTACTAAGACTATCAATACCTCTTTGTTCTTACTAACTTCAGTTACATGATGGTGAAAACAATAAAAATGCCATACATTTCAAGATAATTGTTAGGACAGCATGTACCCTATAAAGAGTCATATACAAAAGAAACAATTGTAAGTATAAGCATTTTAAGAGGCATGAAATAACTCATAAGTCATAACAGTTACTTGTTCCATACAGCAAGTGAATAAGACTTACCACAGGATCACCACCTTTGAGGCTGAAAATCTAGGGTGTCAAATTGAGTGTCTAACTGATCAGCTGTTTCAGGCTGCATCTTTTGCTGGACAAAATTATATATGTATCTTTTGCTTTTTCCAGAAGAATCTATTGAATGCCCATTTTTTATGTCAAGAACAAAATAAGGTACAGCAGAGTTCCCACTCTGAGAATTTGAATTATGAGGCTGGAAAATGTTCTTCTTTTTTACCTGAATTTAGCATAAACTGAGATTAAGCAAAAGCACGTAAACTTCAGTTCCACAGCATAATAGACAAACTAATATACCTGAGAAACTCTAGCTTCAAGATCGATCAATCTATCCCAATGTTTAAGAAAACTATGATGCGCGACTGTTAAGTGATTCACAAGGTTGTCAAATAGATCACCAAGCCCACTAGTTGTAGCATTGCCTCCATGTGCCTGTTAGAACATGTATATTTTATGTAATTATATAATTTCTTCTCAGCTGGTAAAGACTTCCAATAGTACCATAAAAGAAAATATTCATGTATTAAAAGAAAAGGGAGGAAAATCAAACCTTGTGATATATGGTACAAGAAATCAGGTGTCGACATCCATTACATGTTGATGGGCTCTGAAAAAAATAATAGGATTTAAATTAACTTCTTACTAATGAATCTGATACGAATAAATTTCAATTTCCACCTGTAACATTGGAGGAAAATTCTGTGAAATCGATGCCTTCAGGATCTCGGTAGCAAGCTCGTTGCGGCGCATTATTAGCCCAATTAAATCAGCCCTCTTTACTTTAATGCCCTTAAGAAAGTAAGGAAAATGGATAAGAATGGGTACACTAGCATGCATTTTTAGTATAATCTTACAATATTACCAATGTCTGGTCTGTGTGAAGATAATACAGAAGGCCCAAGTCAATATCCTCATTCAAGTATCTGAAAAGGACAATGTGAAAACACAAAGGGTTAATGGAAAAACTGCAGAACCCAGGATCACAGATAAAACCTTAAACGAAATAGGTAGGTTATACCTCTCTGTCATCAACAGTGTGTATAATATCACCTGAGCGGAGTGTTCCATAGCTGTCTGCATATAGATAAACGCTTGTGAATGGTAATACTACACAAGTAAATGAATTTATAAAAGGAACAAAAAATGAATAGATATTTATTTCCCCAGAGTAGGTTAGGTAGATGGCAACAAAAGAAAGTAAACAAATATAACAAAGCCTTCTTTCCAGAAAGATTAGTAATACTAAACATAAGCTGAAGACATTTGAACTTGGTATAAAGCACAAGGACCTCAACATAACAACTCTGCATGTAGTGATTATGGAAACAAAGAATGACCCTGTGGAAGTGCAAGAAAGATTAAAATGCCTGATATTCAGTGGTTGCTACTTAAGGACTGGGTGACACTATGTAGTTGACAATGATTTACAGGCAATTGATAACAGTTTGTATGGCAAGTGGAGTGCAGTACTTCAGAATCTATTTAAGTATGGAATCAGCAACCAGAGAGTAAAAAGAGACTACTTCAGGACTGCTCCATAAGAAAGACTAAGACTAAACTCATCAATTGCAGTAGTTGCAAGCCTTGTTTGCATGTAAAAATTATATGAAAGTAAGATAAAATCAGCAAAACGCCCCCAAGAGAAACTCAGTTGAGACTTTGCAGTAAATACTAAATCCCAATTATAAACACTGTACTAGGTTATCAGCCCCAACAACAGTATGGCTTAGTAGGTAAATGTCGACAGTTTCAGAATGTCAAGACAAAAAATAATGCCAGGAGGATGCCTATCCTTGTGGTCGAGTCATTTTTCTTAGTGGCCAAATAAATAAATCATGCCAATAAAAGACATAAACATGCATTCTCATTGGTATCCAAGAATATGTGCTTACCTGGCCACTAGTTCCTTTCCCAGTTTTGAACTCTAGTGGCATTATTCTATCATATGAACCACCATTGCATGACTCGACTCTTGATCTAACAGAAGCATCGATAACCCCTTTCAAACCATATCTTGGCGCCCATGCCATTTCCTCAATATCCATCACCTATGGCACATGTGGATTGCATTTTATTTAAAGGGAGAAACAATGATGCTTGGATGCATCTATGGTAAGGCACAAGATCTAGCCAGAAAACAAATTAAGTACATGGGGACAATGCAAATTTTGATTGGTAGAAACCATAAAGAAAACATGAAGCATCAGCACAATATGGACTGCTTTCTTTTGATAGCAGGCACCATGAAAGAAGCCTGTTATAAACTATTGTAAGCTAAGTATTATTCCTACCTCAGTCACTCCAACAGTCTTTCTCCCTTCGTTATGTCCAAAATCAACATTAGAACATTTTGAACCCTGAAAGTGCAGTTTATCATTACAAAACAATCAAACAATTAATCATATGGTCATATATATTCTGTAAAAAGGTACAGAAGAAGCAAAACATAAAGTGCAATAGCTTCAAGGCATATGTTCTGCCAATTATTACGCATAAGCTGAGATACCTTCTCTTGAAAACTATAACAGCTGTTTCAGAATTCCAAGCCTTATAATTTTGAAAATAAACTAGAATAACCTATAATGGAATGCTACTTTTAACACAATCGAGAGGAAGTATATGGATTTATGGTACAATTGTATAAATTCCAGATTTCCTTTAGAAACTACATAATGTTCAGAAATCATTGAAACTACTGAAGGATAGAAACAAAGTAGAGTTCCTTATCTCTAATCTAAAAAAGCAGGTTCTGCTATTCTGTACCTTTAAGAAACACTTGAACCAATTCAACATTTTGGGGATAGCTTCAATGAGTGTGGAGTACATGTTGCTTTCATTGGCTGCATATTATAAGAGAAAAGTATGAGCCAGCAAGTTGCTCTACAAAAATGGTATATCCCCCACCCCCACCACCCCTACGGCCCCACTAGGGCTGGATAACGAGACAGCTCGGCTTGGCAAGATAACAAGCCACGGCTCATTATCTTAACGAGCCAGAAGACCAGCTTGGCTCGGCTCTTTTACAACTCAAGCTGGCTCGTTTAGGTAATAAAAATCACAGAAAACACATCTCTACATTTATCTTAAAAAACTTGGGAATAGTAATAATACAAAAGCAACTCAACCATAGGCCTTAAATCAAATAAATAGATTAACACATACTAACATATACAACTACAACAGTACACTATAGTACTATATACCATACATCCATGGTTCATACTCCATACCATATCATACATGATGCACTCATTAAGGAATATCCATTTAAAATAAAGTGATAGCATCATAGTACATACAAGTCTCCAAGGTCCAGGTCCAGCCATCAACCAATTGCAAAGTGCAAGACATCAAGTTATACAGAACTGATATAAATTTAAGGCCAACAACTTTGGCTCTTAGGCTCGCGAGCTGGCTTGTTAACTACACGAGCTGGAATGTAGGATTAGCTCATTGAAAAATATAAACGAGCCGAGTTGAGCCGAGCCATTATCGAGCCGAGTCAAGGGAGCTGTCCAGCTGCGAGCTTTTCGTCTAGCCCAACCCCCCACCCACCCACACCCAAAACTCCCTCCGCGGGGCCCAGAAAAAACATACATAGCCATTTCTCAAAACCAACATAGGAGTAGAATGTAAGCACCTATGTTGATTCAAAATGAAAAATGGTTGATTGATCAAATATGCTCACAAAACAACCTAGCAATTCTGTTATTTAGCTTTGATAAAGTTGGCATTTTTTTTGTCCAGAATCCTACCTCCACATGCATATAAAGTCTCTATATTTTTCAGAAGAACTTCCTTTGCTTGTTGTTCCAAGAATTGCCGTGAAGGAGCATCCTTGAGTAGCCCAGCCTGGCACAAAAGAATGTCAGAAATGCCCACAACTGTTGTATTGTTGTATTAATTGACACAAAAATTGTGAAGTAGTAACTAAAATTAGCATATTTAGTGCAGACAACCTGAAAGACTTGGTGAAGCAGAGTACCAGTCAACGCGCTGGTAGAATATTCATTGCTTTTTAGTCTGTCATCAAGAACAGACCTTCTTGGACAATGGAAGCTAGAAGCAACCTAAAATACACTAACTATCAAAATATGCAGTAGGAAAAAAACAGATGAATACATGCTTTAGTTATTAGATTTTTTTTTAGGATAGTTTATTAGGCCACAGACCCACAGTAATCTGTTCTGTGATTCAGATTAATGTAGTTGTTGGAGCATGTAACAAAATTTTACCAGAACACAAGTGATAGTACTAACCCGTGTCCCAGAAATGAGTAGCTCTGGATGGACAATAACAAGATTATTGTCATGATCAACAATACATTTTCCTTGGTTACTAAATTCTCCAATGACATTTACAGTATCACCAGGCCCAACAATACTGTGGAACCTGCAACAGTAGGAGCAGAAAGTTCAAAGGAACTGATGGTGGTAGTAAATGCTGCCTATACAGATAACATTTCTTAAGAATCATGCAACCTATATTCAATAAGCCCTAACAGTGTGTAATTGCAGTAAACGCCAGAGAATTAAGTCAGGAATTTAAAGAAAGGCAAAGTTGTCTTATTGGAGGTGTGTGCGTGTGTGTTGGGGGGGTTATTCTGTACTGACCACTCATCACACAGATGCACGGCACATTCTTTCCCAGAGTGTTCATTCAGAAGACGCAGAATCTGGCAAAACAATCAATGACTTGGCAGAATAAGAAAGGCAATCACACATTTATCTCATGCGTAAAGGTAAAGAAGGCAGACACCTTAACAGGATAGTGATCACACGATGAATCATCAGCTTTATGTTTTTCTGACACCTACAACAACAACAACAAAGCCTTTAAGTCCCAAACAAGTTGGGGTAGGCTAGAGTTGAAACCCAGCAAAAGTGTTGTTTGGCGTCAACTTAAACCAAGAGGAGGAAGTTAAAAGGTAAACCTCCAAGACAAGAAAACTATTGAAGAGTGGAGCATTAATGGTTTTCTTGGATGGGATAGTTAAGTCACCATCGGCAACAGAAGAACAGCTATTGTTGGTATTATCCTTGTTTGTGGTTTGCCCTCCTTTATTTCCAGGATCAACAGGCAATTCTTCTTCCATGATTGCATCCTCTACTTGGTCTAGAAGATCAAGTAATGCCTGCGATGAGAACAATTTGACTCTAAGCTGAATTTTTCTGAAACAACTAGTACTCTAGTTCTTGAGGATCGCATCTAGTTCACCTTTTTGTGCTGCCCTTCTCCCAATGGTTCGAGATCTCCCTCAGAAGTGACACCACTGCTCAGTTGCTGCTCAGGGAACAAGAAGGTTACCAATCGAAATGACTGGCACTCACATTTAGCTGACAACATGCACTGTAACAAAGCGCATAACCAATGTACCTCGTTGCAGCCATAGGAAAGCGATGGTGGGGTCCGAAATGGACTCTGAGTATCCTCCACGCCATCACAACCAACTAGAGCAGATCCAAGAACTCCTGAATTACGTCCAGAAGTAGTACACCTTGACAGGCCCAATGGAGATGAATGCCACTTCTTCATAGCCTCAAGGGAGGAATTTTTCTACCATGTCAATCACACACAAGAGGCACAAATCAGAAACTCCAGCACATGCAACAAAATCGAAAATACAGGCATCCTCAGTGCACTTTGCGCAAGCGCGTATTGACCCATACTTGCGCAAAAGAACTGCAGATGGTGTACCTCGCTTGAGTACGGATGAGGTGCCATCCCCAGAAATTGCTTCGACTTCGCCGTACCAAGGCGATGGTTTACCGGCGAGATCTTCCAAGTCACCACCTCCGCGGCCCCATCGTCCTGGCTCTGCTTAATCAACTGAACCGCAAGAACCCATCAGATGAAAGAAAAGAGTCCACCAAACTGCAGCCAAAGCAGACGGCGGCTGCTAACGCTCACCATTCCGGGAGAAAACCTGACACGCTTCGGCGCAAGCGTCTTGGTGACCTCCGGCGAGACCTCCGAGGGCTCCTCCTCGGGCGGCGGCGGCGGCGGAGGGGGAGGCGCAGGGGGGTCGGGCTTCTGGCGCTTGGCGTTCTGGGAGGCCTGGGTCTGGCGCTCGAAGAAGTGGAGGATGCCGAACTTGGCGGGCTGCGATGGCTGCGATGGCTGCGGCTTCTTTGAAGAGGCGGCGGCGGCGGCGCGCCTCTTCGGGGGCATTGGGGATTAATGGATAAGGGATGGGCCCCTATGGATTTGGGGCGGGTTCTCGGCGAGCGGGATGGCGGCGGCGAAATGGGGGATCGGATTGGGGAGGGAAAGGGAGAAGAGGGGAATGGAGAGTTGGAGACGAATCGGCAGTGCACTGGGAACTGGGAAGCGGGCGGAGGTGGGAAGGAAATTGGAATTCCCGCGCGGAGCAATTTTTTTTTATCACAAAAATAAATCGCGCGGAGCAATTTTGGCGGTGCGGAATGGGCCTGATTATCGGCTTTCGGAGGAGCAGAGGCTCCGACGAGGGGTTTTTTTTTTTTTAGAGGAACGACGAGGGCTTGTTTTTTTTTCGATGCAAGCAAGCCTCCTTTGGGCCTATTTCACATTTCATGGCACTCGGCTCCAAGCAGTTCCCAAGGCCCATGGCACATCTTTGCTCCATGCCATGGCACCGTTGACAAAGCCCACTATTCCTCAGGAAGAAGAACACGAGTGTTTGTAAGGCCCATTTGAATAGGCTAGAAATTATCAAAACCGTTTTTCTATCACCATTTTAACTTAACCAAATTTATAGGAAAGAACATCAATATTTATGACACAAATAAATATAATGTAAAAATATTGTGTACTAGTGCTACTTATTTGGTACTCCCTGTCACGTCAGTATTTTTTCTAATTTTGGTCAAAATTAAACGGGTTTAACTTAGAACTAGCTTAGAACATGAGTTATTAAATTATTGCAACTCCAAGAGACTATATATATCCTTCCTAATTGTTAGGATTGTAGATTTGGTAAAAAAATATCCTGCAACAGATTCTTTATATCTTTCCTATTTGTTAGGAATATAAATTCCTATTTGTTAGGAATATAATTTTTTTGGTGAAAAATACTCTTTAATTTGATATCTAAATATAGATGTCCTCTATTTCGGATTTGTCACCATCCAAAAATGGAGATCGAAAATGACTCTCTAGAATACCTACATACAAAATAGAGAAAAGTTCTTGAAGAGTGAAACATATAGAAAACAACATTTTTTGCTCAAGTGACTCCAAATACTAATTTAGAGAGTGAAATTTAGAAATACTCTTTGAGATTTGTTCTTAGGACGGGAGTAAGGTGGTGTTTAGATCCAGTGACTAAAATTTAGAAGATGTATTGGAAGGATGTTGCATGGGGTGTTCGGATACTAATAAAAAAACAAATTACATAATCCGTCAGTACTCCATGAGACGGATTTTTTAAGCCTAATTAATCCGTTATTAGCACATGTTTACTATAGCACCACATTGTCAAATCATGGACTAATTAGGCTTAAAAGATTCGTCTCGCAAATTAGTCGTAAACTATGCAATTAGTTTCATAATTAGTCTATATTTAATACTCCATACATGTGTTCAAACATTCGATGAGACACCACCTAAGTACGCGACACCATCGGAGACGTCCTCGCGTGCCCGTACGTCCATGTCGCTTCTTACTGACCGAGATCGATTTTTTTTAATTTTAACACTTTTTCGAAATTAATTTTAAATCTAACACGGTGGGTTTTTAAAAAAAACTAACACTTTTGTCGCTTATTGCCTCGACGCGCGAAAATGTCCAGTGCGCGCCATGTATGGTGGCGTGGCGGTAGGTCTCGATTCGTGGCGACGACCGAACGACTGACCGCCGATCGGCTGGCTGCTGCTCCCGATCCGTAGAAGGTCGAAACCCCGCTGCTCCGCGTCCGCTTAGTGGCCGAAAGCAACGCCTCGCTACTGCCGTCATCCCTCCCCACCTTCTCCAAGACCTCGCGCGCCGCCCGCCCCCTCCTCCCGCCGGGCCGTCCATTGCCGCCTCCTCCTTCCTTCCATTCCCCGATCCTTGTCCGGTGATGACGTCGCCTTTATTTTCGTTTGAATGGTGGATAGGATATTATGAATAGGAGTTAAGGTTAGGAGGAAAATTATGTTTAAGAACTATGGTCTACGGTTTAAAGAAAGATATTAGTTTAATTTTGTCAATGTTAAGGTTAATTATTTAGTTAGAAGTATGTTTACCATGTATTTTTTGTTGCTATAATTTTCGGTTATATTATTTTAGTTGCATTGCAAATGACTATATTTTACATTAATTTGCGTTGTTTTGATTGATGTTTAATTGGAACTGTTTTATTAGATGGAAGACATGTTTCCGAAGCAGTTATGGCGAAAACGGAGTCATCCTAGAGAATTATACCCTGACGAGTCTAGCAAAGATGCCCCGTCCCTCCTGAACTCCCTGTCCCTAACTGTGACTGTGGTCGTCCGGCCGACGTGTTTCAATCGAGATATCCAAACACAGCGGCTCATTACTTCTACACGTGCAGTGGTTTTAATGTAAGTAATTGTTTCCGTATACTTTTCTTTTCATTTGTATTATTAGGTTACTAATATTTTATTGAATTTTCGTTGTTTAGGACTATGAGAGGTGTTTTTTCTTTCAGATGATCGATGGTGCAGACAAGTTTGACCCCAAGTACCTCATTTTCGATGATTGGTGGAGAGGGCGACATCTACGGGAGCACTTCGAGCGGTGGGTTCCACCTCTCCCTAACCCTCCTCCAATGACGGCTAAGGAGAAGCACTTAGCCGCAGTTAGACGACTTGAGAAACCTCCTTTGTGCGATTGCGGAGATCGAGCCGTGATAAACCCTGAGAATATGTTGGAGTTTACGTGTCCAAACAAGCATAAAGTAAGTGCAAAGTGTATGTGTTGAAATGTTGAGCTATATATGTTTATGTACTAATGTCACGTTATTTAGATGTATTCAATGGCGAAGTGTCGTTTCAAGGAGTGGTTGTATGGTCCTAAGAACAAATGGTCTGAAGAACCTCCAAAAGCAAAGCAAGAGAAGAAAAAAGGTTAATTTATAAAGCACCGCCAGTCAAGTGCGAATGTGGTGTTAAATCTAACTACGGTCTAGTCCCTTCGAAGCTTAGAATATGCCATTATTGCAGCTATATGATTGACTATGATGAGGTTGGTTATTTTTGTGGTTACCATAAAATCGTATTTTGTTTCTTTTGCTAAGACATATATGATATAATTTATCGTTTAAACAGAGCACTAGGAAATGCAGGTGAGAATGTTATGATGGTCAAGCTAAGTTCTTGGATGAACTAAAGGGGAAGCAAGTAATTACACAAAAAAGGGGATATGGACCTGACTACATCAACCTTTTCGTTGAACATCACAAAGATAAGATGCGTGAGTTTGCTAGACAGCGCGGTATTTGTAACCCGATCGACGTTGGGCTTGTCAAATGGGAATTGAAGAGACGGATGACATTAGAGGAGGAGAGGGCAAGGAAGGAGGCAAGGGAGGAGACAACAGTACAGATGCAAGTCTTGAACAAGCATATTGTTTCATTATGTGCCAGTGAGTGCTTGGAAGCCTTTTTTCGTTGCGATTTTAAATGGAATATAATCGCGTTCTAATCGATTGCATTTTATACATGAAGGGATTGGATGCGAGGACCATGTTCTGGTCGTGCAAGGTATGAGGAAAAGAAGTTAGATGGGCTGCACGCGAGCGGGCTGTCGCACGGCTCAATCACCGCTGTTGTCTGATGAGGGGGGACGAAGATGAGGACGACACGCCAGACGACATCGCTCGCAAAGCCGAATTTACGTGAGGAGGTCAAGATGACCTGTGATCGTGGTCTAGCAAAGGCGGGCTTACGGCGCCGGAGGCCGAGGACGACATCGCCGGCGAGCTCATCGCTTTACACATGGTTATAGACGGAGGAGGATGACGACGAGCCAAACATGGCGGAGGCCGCTTTACTACAGTCTCGTTCATGTGAGTCTAGCCACACGGGTTGTGGTTGAGAATTGGTACTTACGACAGTTTGTTACTCGAGATGTTTTCGACGCTGTTAGTTCCATGCTTTATTAATGATCAATATAGCTATGTAGTAGAAATTCTATTATGTTGTCTTATATTCTATTTGAAATAATGATGTATTGTACCCATGTATCATGTACTCGGATTACCCATGATCGATCTTCTATGATCACATCAGTTTGTATCATGCGTTCAAAATCCGTGTGCTTCGCTAATTCTGGTCCATGAATCATAAGGGTATCATCTGCAGCCAAATATGTGACTAGTCTACCCTAAGCCTGGATACCATACAAAACCTCGCTTGTTTGCTGTTGCATAGTATGAACCGCATACGCATGGCATCGAGCACGGTTTGGCATCGATCGGTCTTGGCAAGCATCCAGCATCATCGTTTCGCTAAATCACTGCTAATTACATCACAGATCTTGTCCTCCTCCTCCTGTTTTTTCTCTTTCTGTTCGAACTCATTCACATCGATATCATTACTTATACAACCTACTGCAGTTGAATGAAACTGCTCCTATGTCAACTGATCGTCCAAATCCATGTTATCCTGAGTTGCTTCACCTTCAACCCGTAATTCTTGGTCATTGCCTCCATAACCATCAATGGACGGCCTGTCCTGAACACCCTGCATGTTGTACCCATTCTCCACCACCATCTCAGCCATAGGCACATTAGAACCTTGGAGAACCCTAGTGTAGCGGGACCAGTGAGCAGGGTCACGCAAGGGCATGAGGACTTAGTGTGCCCTAGTCTTTCCGGTATCAAACCTCTCCTTCAGTGTGAAATCACCGACAAACTTTACATTCAAACGGACACAAATATCGTTGAAGCTAGGAGGTTCATCAAACCATTCCAATTCTTCTTCCATATTCTCAAATATACCATATTCTCTCCTAACACTTTCTCTATACAAAACTCTAACACAACAATTCATCTGCAAAAGCATTTCAACAAACTTCATCAAGTCGTCGAAATCGTCGTACGTAATATCCGTAGTAATATTAATACATATTCTAATTATAACTATACTAACTAATCTAATATTAACATCTATACAAGGCTAATTACAACAACTAATTAGACTAAATCCAATGCATAACTAGACTCAATAATTGTACTAACTAAACTACCTATACTAACTTACTATATTACCTATACTAACTAAACTAACTGCCTTTACTAACTATACTTTAATAATTTTACTAACTTTATTAACTATACTAACTAAATTAGAGGAGTACTCGCTCGCTCGCCTCTAGACTCTAGGCATCTCCTTCCATTTGGCGGGTAGCCACCGTCGTCGGCCGGAGAGAGTCACGAGAGGTAACGTAATGGCCGGCGCGAGCGCAAGCGGCCGAGCGCGTGCGCGATGCGGCGGGCGGTCCCGGCGGCGCCGAGGGCGCGGCGCGTGGCGTCTGCGCGCCGTGTGGCCTTCCGCGACCGCCTGCTCGCGCTCGCCGCCGCGCGCACGCGGCGGCGGGGGGTTATTCGACCCCTTGCCCCCCGGATCGTAGCCCCACCGGAACCCGAAGATCGGTGGCGCGGTGTTCCCATCGGCAGGGTCGGTTCGGTCGTCGCCACGTCAGACCTCTGCCGCGCCACCATACATGGCGCGGCACAGGCATCGGCCAAAAGCGTTAGTTTAAAAAAATCCACCGTGTTAGATTTAAAATTAATTTCGAAAAAGTATTAAAATTAAAAAGAAAATTCCCGATATCCGAGTCTGAGACGATGTCGCCTTCCCGCAGAGCTTTGTTGTGTCGAGCCAGCAACATTACTGCTAGGGGGAGGGGTAGGAGCACGTTCTTGCATTAGTTTCGGCAGTGGTCGTTCAGGTTCTGATTGTTGCTAGACGCTGCATTTTCAACCGGTGGTTGGGAGTTTGAGCGATCGATCGTGGACTCGCAGTGACAGTGCTCAGACGAATCGGGTGATCAGCGAAGTTGGGCCATGTTTAGTTGCCCACATTCCAGAATTTGGCACTATGCAAAAGAACATTTCCCGTTACATCAAACTTGCGGTACATGCATGAAGTACTAAATGCTGACGAAATCAAAAACTAATTGCACAGTTTGATTGTACTTTGCGAGACGAACATTTTGAGTCTAATTAATCAACGATAGGACAATTATTATTAAATAAAAACAAAATGCTACAGTACGCAACAGCGACGCTACACTACCTAGGATTCCGGCGGCGCTGAATCCGGGGCCGAACTAAACGCGGCTTTGAACGAACCCCTGCGAATTACTCCGTACTCTACTTTCTTGAACCCTCGCTCGCTCACGCTAATGGGATGTGATGTGATTGCTGACTTGTTGGTCGGAAAAGGAACTCCGGCTAATCGGAAGCTTTCGGTTGCCTCCTGTGCTGTCTGCAGCCGGCCCGTGTCAGTCTGTGACCGAGCGACCCATCGCTGTGTCTGTATGACGATGCTGCTGCACACACCGACGGGAGCGGAGCAGATAAGGATTCTGGAAACCGGGGGCACGAGAAAGCAGCCCGGCGCGCGGCGCAGCGTCGGTGACGCCTCGTTTTCGCCGGGTTAATTGCAGGTGCGCGAAGGTTCGGCTCGGGCCTGCGTCGTGGACTCGTTCTGGTCGTCGACTGCTGAGTTGTCGACGGCCTGGCCCGTCGCTTTGAGCGTCCGCGCGTCACGGACGACACGGAGTGCCGTATTACGTGATAAGTTTAAGCTGGCCCGTGGCGTGGTCAGCCGTACAGGATACGGCGCCGATGCGCCGTGCACAGCGCCGGTTGCATGCACACACGGTTGTACGTGGTACGAACCAAACAGGCCGTGATCTCGTTTCACGGTTAATTCGAGGCTTATTAGTACTCGAACGCTGTTATTATTATGTTACATACAGTACTAGCATACGGATCCGGACTAACGTTACCCAAGCGTGCATCCATCCCACACGGGTGGAGTGGAGTTTGTGTGCACGCGCTGCCGCCATCGGGACACGAAAATCTAGCGCTCCTGCCCGTACTCGTTTGCTGTTGCAGAGACATCATGCGGGCCTGAAACGAAACCAGCTCGTTTACCGCAAACCATCTCTTTCTTTCTCACGCACGCACACCTTTTCACGTGATCCAGCCATATTTAAACACCGTCCTCGAGCTCTCGGGGAATCGAATTTTCCAATCGCGCTGCACAGAAAGAGTCAGTCGGGTGTTCCAATACTATTAAAAAAAAATTATAGAATATATCAGTAATCAACAAGATGAATTTATTAAATCTAATTAATTTGTTATTAGTATATGTGTTAATGTAGCACCACATTATCAAATCATGAACTAATTAAGCTTAAAAGACTTATCTCACAAATTAATCATAAATTATATAATTAGTTATTTTTTTAGTCTATATTTAATACTCAGTATATATATATAGAGAATAACTTTAGGGAGCAGCTAAGCAAGGCCTTGCTAGCCGTGTGTAACGAAAAAGGGAGAGAGCTCGCTCGCTCGCCTCTGGCCTCTGGCATCTCCTTCCATTCCTCTCTACCCGCGTCGCGAGAAGAGATCACGAGAGGTAACGTAATGGCCGAGGCAGCGGCAAGGGGAGCGCGATGAGGTGCGCCAGGCACCCGTACGAGGGCGGCGTGGGCGTCTGCGCGCCGTGCCTCCGCGACCGCATGCTCGCGCTCGCCGCCGCGCAGAACGCGGCTTCCTCGCTGCCCCCGCCCCTACCCCCACCGGAACCCGAGCCGGAGCCGGTGTTCCCGAGGTCGGTGTCGTCGCCGTACGTGTGCCGCCGCCGCAAGTCCGACGCGTCGTCGGCGCCGCGGGGGCGCCCGCCGGGCAGCCTGCTCTTCTTCCGGACGCCGCAGGTCGGCCCCGGGTCAGGGTCAGGAGCAGGAGCAGCTGGGTTCGAGGATGGCGACATCGGGTTGTTCCGGAGGCGGCGCGGCAGGTTCTCCGTGCTCGCCGCGCTCTTCGGCCACAGACCGGACGACGACAGACGCGGCGACAAGGAGAGGAGGTACAGGCCGTCCTCCTGGCTCGCGGGGATCGTGCCGCGCGCCGCCCGCCGGAGGAGGAAGGACAGGGAGACCGGTCTGCCGCCGCCTTCCCCGCCGCGGCGCTCGTGCCGCGGGGTCAGCGACCGGGGGCTCTCGCCGGTGAGGTACTACGCAGACGGGGACGGCGAGGAGAGCACCTCACCGGCGGAGTCGCCGTGGCTGCCGTCGCCGTCGCCGATGCGGAAAACCCCGGGCCGTCGCCGCCTGGGACTGGGAGCGGCGCCCGGGGCCGGTGTGTCGGGGTTCTCGGTGTGCATCAGCCCGCTCGTGCGGCCCAGCCTGGGGAGTCACCTCCGTGGCGGCGGCCACCCGCCGGACGCGGTCATCTCAGGCGATCTTCGCCCGTCGCCACTCCACCCGCTCACGTCCAGCGCCTCGCTCCACCACTGCCGCTCCTGGAAGCTCGCCGACGGCGGGCGGTTCCGGTGAACTCGTCGACGTCTCCCTGTCCCTGTGTGACCCTGTAAACTTCTTTCTCACCATATTCTCCTACATGCTCGGTCCATTTTTCACCCAAAACTTACACGACCATTACTTCGTGGGTTTTATCCTTTTCCTCCTTTTTATTTTACCTTGACGTGAAAGCTAGGGATAAAAAGGAATTTGTGCCTCGCAAGCTGTTCCACTGACATGTGGGCACCAACATTTGTAACGGTGCCGTTTGTCAGCGGAACATGTTGCAACGCTGTAAAAAGGAACAAGCTCCCCGTGCTGAGTGTTCATGTACAGCTAGCTTATTGCGCCTTTTCCTCTGTTTCGTGCTCGATTTTTTTTTTTTTTTTTGCGTTCTGAGATTCTCCGGTCAATAAGCATTAGTGGTGTCTGGTTTGATGGTATAGAGGTCATGTGGGCGGAATTAAATGCTGGAATTATTAATGGGAGGGAGATCTCGTCTCGGCAGAGTGCAGCTCAGTCTGGGGAGTGCGATGCGTGGAGCAGTACTGAACTACTGGTACTCAACTAGAGCAATTTTTGTGATTTGTTATTCAAATTTCGTAATGTAACTTTGATGATGTGAGCGAGCACAGTACGAGTAATCAGTTACTAATTCAATAATCCTTAATCAACCTGTTCGCTTGTTGGTTTCAGCCAGGGTTTATCAGCCATAATATAGTATTTTTCTCTCACAACAAACCAGCATTAGTTGAGTTTATCAGCCTAGAAACCAACCAGCGAATAGGCTAAATGAAACAAAATATTTCTCTTTTTTAAAAAAAATAGTAAGACCCATGATACAGTCAGTAGTAAAAAGGTTCTCTAACCCGAGCTTGACGAGGTATCTGAAGTCCAACCGATTATACTGGTCTGGTTCGCTTGACTCATGAGCCACGGCTAAAAGTATTATTAGCTGATTTGTTGTAAGAGAAAAATATTATTTATTAGCTAAAAAAATAAAACTTATAAACCAAGCGAACAGGACAGACGCGGACACTTAAGGAAGCAAACGAATTGCTGATGCTACCCTCCCCGTGTCCTGTTGGTAAACACCACATGTTGGTGGCAGTTGGATCAGAGTAAATGCTTTCTCTCACGATAAATCAGCGTCAGCATCAACGTAGCATAGGTCAAATTTCAGCGAAATTCGCACGGGGCCTCGTCGCTAGCCAGGTTAGGCCAGATCCGGAATTCCGTCGTCATTCCGAATTCCGATCGTGGCTCTGGCTCCCAGTGCAAACTTGCTTCGACTGGACGATTGCCTTGCCGCCAAACCCACAGCCAAGCACGATCTTGATGCTCACTCGTACGAAAAAAATCGTCGCGTTGCTTCCCCAGCCACTACGATACACTAGTCCTTGATGAATACTGTATAAATCCAGTACTCGTACAAGTACTCGGTGAAAGTGTTCTACACTGGCCTGCCTGCCTACGCCGCTACAGTCAACTCGCTCCATGCTGGTGCTAGCAACAGATCTGAAGTGAAAGTCAACCACGAATCTAGGACCAGGAGCGCTGGTGCGTGCCATCCTTGGCTGACGACTGCAATGAATGAACCCGAGATAAAGCTCGCAATAATGGACGCCACCACCCACAGGTCTCTTGACTCTTTGAGCAGAGCAGTTGAGCTCAGCTCTGGTCTGTCACTGTGCCGGCCGAGCCTCGGAGCCTCTGACAACAGTTGAAATAATTCCTCGACAGGAGGTGGTTGCGCGCTCGCTTCGCTTCGGAACGTAAAGGTTTAAAGCAACGATCATGGCAGGTGCTCGTGGCTTCGCCGCGGCCGGGAAAGAAAGCTCGACGCCTTTACGGTTTAAAGATAGTGCGGTGGTGGTGGCCGGTGGGCTTGCAAAGTTGTGCCTGCGATCCGGTGAATCGCGATGAGCTGTGAGAGAGTGCTGGGTTGCACTATCTGTTCTCCCTTCTCCGGTTCTCCGGCATCCTACTAGCGTTTTTTGGTGGTTATTTTATATATATATATATATATTGATGAAGGAAAATATTACTTCCTTGCTGGGTTTGCTGTTCGTATGCGCTCCACAGGCGCACATGTGCTTGTCCTGCTCGAGGAAAATGATCGCAAATTCTAGCTTCAGAGTTCAGATTGCCACTTCTTCTATGGGGAGGCCAAAACTGACAAGGAGACGGAGCCGAGAGCCCGAGACGCTCAGACGCAATAGGGTAGCCTGTTCGTGCATGTAGGCAGGTGCGAAGACTGGCGTTATTACTATAAATACCTTTATTAGGAGAAAGTTTTGGTTTTGAAATATATGTATCGACCTTCTCGTCAGATTATGCTACTAGGAAGATTTTCAAGAGTTTCTGACGCTTTTTTCAGCATTGACGAATGCAATTGTCAGCTGCGCTGGCAGTATACATCTCGTTAGGTATCTTTCATCCATCCGCATTGCATTTGCACGCGCCCGTGCCATATTGCACGATGAAGCACTTCGTATACGTGAAGACGTCTTTCGTAGCTGCGGATATATAGGAGGAGTGAACACGCCGCGACCGAAGCCGTGGCTTCTGCGTGTCCGCCTCAGCTGTCGTTTCTGTTGGACTAAAGATAAAGTCTGCTTAATCAGTACGAACTACTCGTAGGAACGAGTTGGTATGCCATCACTTGCATTGTAGGCATTCATTTTGACTGCTTTTGTCCCTCCTCTGTCTTTGGTACTTTGGTTTAACACAACTAACATAGGTCCTAGCTTCGTTTTGTAATCTTCACGTAAACAAGACCATCTGCTTTGCTCTTACCGCAATTGGCCCCATGGGCCATGGATTCGCTTGTTCGTTTGCAGCTTTGCTCCCTTAGCTTCTTTTACAGGAAGTAGGACCTTAGCGTAGTTGATGCAACTTGCTTGCCTTTTTTTTTTCCGAAACCGGGTTTATATTTCACATAGATCTCTTATAGTTTACATTCCAGGTCTTACAAAGACATCCTTCAAAAAAAGAAAAATTACAGCTTAGTCCTTGTAAGATCCTCCCGTTCGTCTTCGCCGCTTGTGGTCGGAGCAGCCACTCGACGAGCTCCCGTCACACCAAAGGTTGGAGAGGAGACACACCGAATGTGCAGCTTGAAGCCGAACTCCTTCCCAACGAAGAAACATCACAATTTTTCATTGCCACCAAGAGTAGCACATCGAGCACATCGATATGCTTTCTAGACGTTGAACACCCTGGCAGAACAAGATAGCCACCGGCCATCACATCGCCGGGAGACAAGGAATCTAACGCCTCAAGAATCGCCAGCAACCCCAGCTCACCGGACGACGACTCAACCCGAAGGGGAAATAAACCACCAGAGAATAAACCACCAGAACAGGTGGGAACCAAAAGCCAACCCGATTTCTCAGAGCGTTGGTAGGCATACCTTCCATGAATCCCGTCGGAAAGACCAGCGCCACCAGTGCCAATCTCGAAGGAGACGAGGGAGAGAGAAGAAGACCTGACAAGATCTAAAGTAGCCAGAAGGTCTCCAGATCCAGCAAGCAGTCCTTCGCCGGCAACCGAACACTCACCAGCGAGGTGGAGAAGAGGCCGGCGAAGCTTATTCCCTAACGGCGTCATGGCCTCCACCAACAACACGCCGTCTGAACCTAAACTATCTAAGCTAGGTAGGACTATATACAACAGCCACCTCAATCCCCGTTCTCCGTCCTCACCGGTGCCGAACGAAGGAAATCGGCGCTGGATCTGCATCGCCTCTGTTTTGCCTTCTCTCAACTGCAGCGGTGGAGAGGTTCGGGAAGGGTCTGGATAAGCAGCCTGTTCGGCAGGCCGTAAACAATCGTGGATTATTTACTGCTGGCTGGTTTGGTGTGAGAGAAAAATATTGTTCCAGCTTATAATCCACGATCGTATACAAGCAAGCGAACAAGGAGACGGAGCCGAGAGCCCGAGACGCTCAGACGCAATAGGGTAGCCTGTTCGTGCATATAGGCAGGTGCGAAGACTGGCGTTATTACTATAAATACCTTTATTAGGAGAAAGTTTTGGTTTTGAAATATATGTATCGACCTTCTCGTCAGATTATGCTACTAGGAAGATTTCCAAGAGTTTCTGACGCTTTCAGCATTGATGAATGCAATTGTCAGCTGCGCTAGCAGTATACATCTCGTTATGTATCTTTCATCCATCAGCATTGCACTTGCATGCGCCTGGATTGGAGGGAGAGGGCCGTAGAAGAGGATGGGCCTTGGAGGCTTAGCCAGGACCATTTGGAAATCCAGCTAATGCGTTAGGCCCATATGGAATCCAGCTAACGAGTTAGGCCAGATACGAAGGCTTGATATCTGTACGTTTAAAAAAGCCCAGAGGAATAGTTAATACAAACTCTTCAGAGTACCTCCGATCTTTGTGCGCCGGCAAATGGGGTACTCATTCACGACTCCCTTGCGCTCCTAGCTCTTGTTCCTCAACCACCGCATTGCAACTCACTGCTCCGCTGCCGTTGTGTGGGATCTCCTCTATAAGCTCCATCACTCGGGCGGGGCTCACCATACCGATCCAAGCCAAACCACACCTCAAGGAAGCTCGTGCTAGTGAGATCCAACCCAAGTCTAGACACTACGGGAGAAACCGACTAGATCCACCTCCTCAATGTACTCGGACAACGGCAGTATCGGCGATAGTTCATCTAGGCTGAGAATGAAAGGCACCCTGCAATGTCCTGCCCCCTACCCCCATGACTGCTCAGGTTTTCTCACCTCGTCACACACCCCTACTAGAATTTTTATGCCTAGATCAGTAGACAACAGCACATTACCTTCCGCTCCCCTCTGAATCCACCGCCGCTTCATAGTCTCATCCCATCCACTATTGCACATCATATCCCCTTCGTCATCACATCGCCTCACCTCCTCTCCATCCACAACCGACACGTCTGTCTCTCTGTCTGACTCACCAAGTCACCAGGCAAAGCACCTAGTCGACAAAGTCACCAGCAACATGATGGGGAAACAACGTGGACAACACAAGCGCGTTCCTGTTGCAAGACACAGAGGGAATTGGAAGAGATGGGCTCCTCCTTGACGGCGTTGCCTGTGTCGCTAGTGGACGGTGTCTGCTTCAGCTGTAACGACCGCTTCTGGACCCAATGCCAAACGAACTACTACTATTAGTTCTATGGCAAGTCCCTTCTCCTACTCTTGCTCTCCTTGTTGCCCCATGTTGTCTCTCTTCCTAATCTTGCCTAATAGAAGATTTCTCTGTTTCTCCACTCTTAAAAAGTCCAAAGAGGAATCGCGAACACTGACTCTTTAGCATGTCTCCCCCGCCTCCTCGTGCTTGCGATTTTTATGTGCCAATAGGTGGGCCTTATCTGGTCCACTCACAGCTCGCACATCGGCAAATGGGGTGCTCGCTCATGACTCCCTCTGCTCCCAGCTCTTGCTGCTCCATAGCTGCATTGCAACTCACTGCCCCACCGCCTCTTTTATGGGACCTCCTCTATAGGCTCCACCACCTGGCGCTCCCCGTACCGATCCAAGCTGAACCACACCTCATGGAAGCTCATGTGAGCGAGATCCAACCCAAGTCGATCTGGATGTCGGGAGAGGGACTGCCTAGATCCACCTCCTTAGCCAGCTCCAATGGCAGTGACATAAACAACATTTCATCTGTGGTGAGAATGAAACTCGCCCTGCAATGTCCTCCCCCTCAACAATCACTCGGTTTTCTCTCTTTCCCATCGCACACCCCGACTAGATGTTTTGCACCTGGACTAGCCGCACATCGCCTTCCGCCCCCTCCGAATCCATTGTCGCCTCATAGTCACCTCCCCGTCCACCACACACATCGCCTCCCATTCGTCATCGCGCACATCAGCTCACCTCCTCTCCATCCGCTGCCAATGCACCTCGCTTCTCCATGCTTGCCTCTCTATCCCGACTCACCGAGTGGCCAGGCTCTAGTGGGAAATGCACCCAAATAAGGGGGTGTTTGCACCCTATGGGCCTGCCCTCTAGTGCCCTGGCCCTCCTGGGCCATCCAGGTTAGGCTGATCCAGGGAAACAAACACGCCCATAGTGGTGGCAAACCAGATGCCAAGAACATCGTAGCTAAAGCAATTTGATAAGAGGAAGGTTTAAGCAAGGAAATGCTTCAATCAGTCTATGCATATGCACACATGACACGTGGGCGCACACTGGTGGTTGGAACGTTTTTGCCCATGGCAAAGGAATACATTTCTGAAGAAAAATAAAACGCTAATTCACGGACTCAATTAACTAGATAATAACAGAGCGCGCGATTCTTTTTTCAGCTATATATATACGGAGATAGATATGCAGCTCAATCATTTAGTAGAGTCCCACTGAAATCGACATGTTCCACTTGTCATCATGTCGATGATTAGGGCAAAGACTAGTTTCGCAAGCCGATTCATCAAGCCAACCAGGTGTGTGAAAGGAGGTCTGACAAGCTACCGTTTCTTATTGGAGCTAGCTCTAACCCCTGCATTTCGTCAAGTGGTTCTGCACTACGGATAGACTCCTCGGAGTTACCTGACACTGTATATCAGTTTCAGTCTTAAGTAGCAGTCACGTATGAAAGGAGGAAGCTTAGACACGTATAAATCTCCTTCAGTTTTGCAGCTGCTGAAAGGCACGTGCCACCTCCTGACTGTAAAATCCAGGCAGGATCCAAGAGGAAGCTGTCGTTCTTGCATGTCCATATCTTCCCATGAAGAGCGGTGATTACTGATTCGCTCCCTTGTCGATCGCATTTCGCCGGCTATCTTATACTGTTCCTCCTACTCTGAGCAACGGCGGCGGCAGAGCGGAATCTATCAGGCCTTGTCTGATATACTACTAGTTGGTTGATTAGACATTTTTCTATACGAATATCTCTTGACTCTTAAGCAGAGGACGATCTTTTTCTTCTCTTCCCATGATTGCTTTGAAAAGTATCCAGGATGCGTCCCACGATTGGAGAATCCAAAGTTCCAAACTACTACTTGATCCAGCTTTGAACTAGAGCTGTGTTTGGTTCACTTGAACTGATAAGTAGTGGTGGTTAAAAATAGTTAGTCCATATAAACACGCAGGCTAATAACTAGTCCAAGATAATCAGTGAACTGTACTTCCGTCAACAAAGAACCGAACTTTCAGCATTTTTATTTGGCGCAGTCAGACAGGAACTTCCATACAGCAATTAAGTGCTGTGATGTGATCGCAACAGAAAAAAAAACCCCAATGATTATTCCGCGGAGATTTTGCGGCTTGGTTTTGTTCGTCAGATTTCTCGGTTACTCTTCCTAGTTTTGGCACCTTCGCCACCTCTAAGTACCTCTCATCAAAGACAAAAAACAAGATATGCGATCTGGTGACAGCTCTCATTATAGATATTGTATATATACATTTTTTGAACTGTTATTGTTTTTATTTATTGAATGATGAATGTTGTTTATTTCTATAATTTACTAGCAAATATACCCGTGCGTTGCAACGGAATGTACTGCATGCTGTGTCTCAGATATTTCTTCAACAATCATGTCATATGTTACATTACGTCTTAGAATCAACGCAAGAATGCAAAACATTTAATGGAGTATTTATTTACATTGTGTGAAACCTGTGGAAGAAAAGGGGCATGCATAAGTCGTCTCATTGACCAAGGAAGATATTGTTCAAAGACGCAGTGCCATGTGTATTGTAGGGTAAAACAACATGTGTGTGAGTGGTGGCTATTTATGTTTTGTCCTATGACTGGTGTGTTTGGCTCTATGAGTGCTCATGTACCTAAACCACTTCTCATTTTTAATTGAGCGGCATAGCTCCTGCTTTTCCTTTTAAAAAAAGCACTTAGCCTCTTACCACATACTTACACTACACAAATAACGAGAGATTCTCCTGATATCAGTTTCAGCCCGAGGAAGTAGCAGTCAAATATGAAAGGAGTCCTCTAAAATTTTGCATCCTCTGACAGGCACGTCGCCGCTTTGTAGAATCCAGGCAAGATCCAAAAGCAAGCTGCGTCCTTGCATGTCAATGTCTTCTTCCCCATACAGAGCGGCTGACTAGCTCCGTTGTACATCGCATTGCGACGCCTATTCCCCATACAGACCTGACTTGCTCCAGGGATTAATCGAGACGACCCGGAGAGGAGTGGGTTCAGGACTTCAGGTCTTTGTTGATAGGGTGGTTTGTTTGGACACAAAGGTTTCGTAAGCCATTTTCTCTATGGCTGTGATCGCATCACGATGCATGTACCCAAAATACAACAAAGGGATAAATATGTGGTGGCCTTTTGATTTGAAAAGTACTTCGTCATCTCACAATCGGAGGATCTAATCAACTTATCCAGGTTTGAACTACTACTACCTCCATCCTATAAAAAGAATGTAATTCTACTTCTATTCTTAGTGAAACTATTGATTAATAAATTTATGTAAAAGAGTATAAATATTTATGACATAAAATAGACATATATTATGGTATCATAAATATTAATGTTTTTATTAAATTTAGTTAAAATTAAAATAGTTTGACAGCGCAGTGAACTACAACTACTGTACTTCTGTCGACAAAGAACCGAACTAAACTTTCAGCATTTTCCAGTGGCATCGACAGGAACTTCCATAGAGTAATGTGACAGTGATAGTGGCAGAAAAAAAAAACAAGCACTATTCTGCGGAGATTTTTGCAGCTTGGTGTTGTTCGTCAGATTTCTCGGCTATCTTCTTAGCCTTGGCACGGTCATCGAGGTAGTGCTGATACACGTAGGACAGGAGCCCCCACACTCCTATGAGCATGGCCATCAGCTTCACCCCGTCCATCCGGTCGCCGAGGAAGATCACGGCGATGACCGGAGACAGCGGCGTGCCCACCGTACTGATGACGTTGGTGAACAGAGATGACACCGCCGCGACCAGCCCCATGAGGCCCATCGTGCACAGCTGCCACGAGACGGCCGTCCACGCCAGCGTCATCGCGTACGCCACCTCCCCCTTCTTGTACGCCTCCATCTCCCCGGCGATGGTGCGCCACTCCCCGGAGGCGAACAGCCCGGCCACGGACACGCACGCCGCCGCGGTGTTGCTCCAGAACTGCATCTCCAGCACGGTGCGGAGCGTGTCGCTCTTGAGCACCTCATCGAAGGTGAGCTGCGTCAGGGACAGGATCAGGGAGAACAGCGCCGACGCCGACACCGTCAGCGCGAACCCCGCCGGGAACTTCCCCTTCGGGATGCTGCTGCCGGTCTCGTCCGAGCCGTGGTTCACGCCGATGAGCGCGGCCGAGAAGGTGAGCAGCACGACGGAGTTGAGGACGAGCGCCCGGAACTTCTCCTTGTTCAGGAAGTAGGCGAAGACGGCGTTGAACGAGACCTGGCTCGCGCAGATGATCGAATAGGTTGACATCGGCAGGTACAGGAGGCCGTACGAGTACATCAGGTTGTCGCCGGCGAGGAGGACGCCCAGGCCGGCGTAGATGGCGGCGATCTTGACGAGCGGTGGCCGATTAGCCGCGGCCGCCACGGAGGAGGACGGCCTGGTCCGGAACCGGAAGTAGAGGAGCAGCGGGATGGCGAGCGGCGTGCCGCAGGACTGCACCACCGTCTGCATCCACAGGCTGTTGCCACCCTGGTCGTAGTAAATCCTGCCAAGGAGCGTGGCCACGCCCTGCCCGCCGAGAATGAACACGATGTTGATAAGGACCACCGCCCACCACGCCAGCCGTTTCGATAGTGGTGGCCGCGGCGCCTCAGTTGCACGACATGCACCACCGTTCTCTGCTCTGTGTCCATGATCGTCTCCACCAGCTTCTTGGCCTCGGATACCTGCATGTCCGCCTCATCATTTCAGCTGTTCGATATTGCTGTCTCGCTTAATTAATTGCAGTACCTCGTAATAAAACAGAGAGAAAGGGACCTGCGATTTGCAGCTGAATTTCACCAGCGTCACCCATCTTGGATTGCAACCAAGATCTGTATGCGCTGCAGATATGAAATTTCTTAAAGTAAAAGGACAGGCAACTGCATTCATATACGCAACCGTCGCCGTCCTGTCTATAAACGAGTTGATCTTATCAGTGCGGCCTGTCGACTCTCGACGTGCCCTACTGGTTCTTCTCCCGTGTGAATTCCTCGATAAATGGATCGGCAAGAACTCAAGATATGAATAGACAGCACGTGGCGCAAGAGTCAAAATTTGCTGTCAACATTTGCATCACTCATGAGCTACGGTTCAGTGTTCCCTGGCTCACAAAAGATTCCAAAGGACAAAGGAGAATGACGTCGATCGCATGGGAATATCAGCCGGCTTGTTCGCCTGCTATTAAAGCCGGCTCATAAGCCGATCTTGGCTAATTTACTGTAAGAGAAAAATATTGTAGATTCTAGCTGATAAGTCGACTAATAAGCCGGTTTCAATCAGGGCTTATCAGTCAGTCAATATTATTTTCCTCTCACAACAAACTAGCATCCGTCGGGTTTATCAGCCCACCGTTCCTCAAAATATAAAATTCATTTCACGTTTAGATAGCGCTACGTGTAAAAGATTCAATACCTATTTTTAGTCTTCTCTAACAACCAGGCATAAAAAAGAATCCTTTCTGTAAATAGGTCTCTAGTAGAGAGAATACTCAGATTTATGTTATATTTCTCCTAACACTTGAAATAGGTTTTATATATAAATACTCTGTTAAATGCTATAGATATTATATCAAAAACCAATTTTGATCTCCCGTTGGAGACAGCCTGCCCATACCAGCTTTGAGCTTCCGATTATTGATGAGCTGCACCTAGGATAAGATGGGAGTACGTGTCCCATGTCCGTCTCATCTGCAGTTGCAATTGCAACAGGCGAAAACCCTGCAAAGATTGTTCCAGGAACAGGAATTCATGGAGCGAAGCTGGCGCAAAGATATTTGTCTGTTGGTTTCTGGCGTGTTCTGATGCTCAACTGTTTTCAGTTGTGCTGAGCAGGCTTATTCTTGGCGCCACTAACGCCTGTGAGCTGCTTCCTGCTGTTTTATTAAGGTGTGTTTAAATCCAGACGCTAAAGTTTAGAGGTGTCACACGAGGGTGTTACATTGAGTACTTAAATAGTAACAATAAAATAAATTACACAAGTTCTCAGTAATCCACGAAACGAATTTATTAAGCATAATTAATTCGTCATTAGAAAATGTTTACTGTAGCATCATATTATCAAATCATGGACTAATTAGGCTTAAGAAATTTGTCTCGTAAATTAGTCTCAATCTGTGCATTTAATTTCTTAATTAATCTATATTTAATACTTTATACATATGTCAAATATCCGATGTGACAGAAGCTAAAGTTTAGGAGGGGAAACAAAGAAGGCCTTACATAGACCTTGTTCTTTCATAAGAGAGAGAGTGTGTGTTCCCTCACAGAGAAATATATTCCATACTCTAGAATGTCCAAAAACTACTTTTATCACAAGCGATTGCTCCTAGGACGTGCACTAATTCACTAAACCATGCCAATGAAGAGGCGATAACGTGGACTGAAAGTTCTGTTTTTTTTTGGGCTTTTGGAATGGTTGATTGTGTATAGGAGGATGGTAAAGTCTAAATTTACCACAGTAGTGGTTAGTGAGCTTAGTTGTGGCCAAAAGGGGGCCAATGCAACATGACCAACCCCCAACAAAGTGAAGATCCAGTGCATTTTGTGCTGACTGGATGATCCTCTATGGTGTAAAGAATGAGCACCGAAAAACTCAAGATTGCCACAGAGCAATACAAGAAGATGTTGCAGTGGAATGCAGGTGGTGATGAAAATCATTGCACTGGGTATGGAACTATAACCTGAGCTGGCACCAACAAAATCAACACACCGGATGATCTTGTGGTTGAAAAGATGGCCTGACCACAATCAGCCTGTTCGATGTTGGTTTCAGCCAGGGCTTATCAGCCAGCCAACAGTGTTTTTCTCTTATAACAAATCAACACCAGTTGAACTTATCAGTCCAGAAACCAACCAGCGAACAGGCCGAATATTAATCGGAGGATTAGGTAGGCAAGGTGTTCATGTTGGAGTTTGGGAACACACATTAGATGATCCGGTCATTATAACCAGAGCAACCATTCGAGTATCGCGTAGTGATTCCAATGACTACTTGCAATGGCAATGTAACACATGACATTGGATTAGTACGCATTGGATGATTTGTTGGTGCCCAGACTTGAAAATTGTATCCGGTGAGTGCAAATTTGGTGTGACTGTTGTGCATCAGCTAGTTTGTTGGCTCGGTCTATTTATACCACATCCACTCGGTGTTTGGGGTCGTTGAAGACTAGATGAAGCATCATCCAAAATAGCACTTTTATGAGAGTGGTTAGGCTAGAGATTAGGCAAGACTAGGCTATTTGTGTGTGTGCGCGCGCGTGCGTGCACGTGCGTGTGTATGGGAGCTCCACAGTGAAGGCCACCAGGGCGAGCTGAGGGTGAACCTAAGAGGCTTGCCGTAGCGTTGCTTTCACTTGGTGTGAGCTTTTATGATGATCCCAAACTTTGGGTCTGTTCGTTTGGTATTAAAGCCGTCTGATAAGCCGGGTGAAGCTGTTTTAGTTGTAAGAGAAAAATACTGTAGATTTTAGTTGATAAGTTCAAGCGAACAGGCCCTTGACGCGGAGGAAGGTTTGGTGACCAAACACATAATCTTTAAGCTCCAACTTGGACTATGGGTGGCGGTTGTCCCACATATACCACGGGATACATCGCGCATATCTCGCCTCTAAGTAGTACTTGATCTCTTATTTACTAATTTATTTTTCACACTAGATATATACCCGTGCAACGGGTCATTTCTCACCTACAGCGACATACTTGGCTTAACGTTTATTAAAACAGCTTTACCTGGCTGTTGAAAACAGTGGATTGTCTGTAGTATCCTTTTATTTTATTTTCTTTATTTTTTCTTCATTCATTTTTTTCTGTCACTTATTTTATGTTTTTCTCTTTTTCCCTATCCTTATCTATCTTCTCCATCTACGTATGCTTCTGCATCTACGTATACGCACATCCAAACACTATAGTTGGCCATTTGGCCCGAGCACTACGGGCCGGCCCAAGCACGACATGGATCAGCATGGCCCAGGAACGGCCCGGCCCGACGGCCTTCGTGCCAGTGCCTAGCACGGCCCGGCCTTAGTGCCGTGCCTAGGCCGCCATTCTGGCCCATAGTGCCGCCCGAGCACGGCACGCTATATGGGCCGGCCCGGCAGCCGCACGGCTCGGCCGCAGGTGGCCGTTGGATCCCCGCGTCGCTCCCATCCGACCGTTGGATCCGGACGTTGGAATCGGGGGTATAAAACCACAGCGCTCTCGCCTCGCTCTCAGTCTCCGTTGCCCTAATTCATTTGCTCTCAGTCTCACTCTCTGTCTCTCTCGCCTCGCTCTCGGCTCTCCTCTCTCGGCTCTCCCCCGCAGCGCCGTCTCACCCGCTCCTCTCTCGCCTCGCTCTCCTCTCTCGGCGAGTCGGCGTCGCCGCGTCGGTGACTCGCTCTCCTCTCTCGCCTCCGACTTCCTCTCTTCTTCTCGCTCTTCGGTGGCCTCTGGAGCTATCGCTGGCCGACACTGGCACAATTCGTAACCCTAACCCTTGCTCAATCCCTAACCCTAACCCTTGATCTCTCTTCGTCCTCACCGGATCCGTCGTCGACCTCGCCGGATCCGTCGGTTTCCTCACCGGATCTGTCGGTTTCCTCGCCGGATCCGTCAGATCTCCGACTCGCTCCCATCGGACCGTTGGATCCGGCCGTTGGAATAGGGGGTATAAAACCCGTCCCGCGGGCCGGCCGTATCTCGCTCCGTCGCGGCGGTGCCCTAATTCATTTGCTCTCCTCTCTCGGCGAGTCGGCGTCGCTGCGTCGGCGACTTGCTCTCGTCTCTCGCCTCCGACTTCCTCTCTTCTCGCTCTCCGGTGGCCTCTGGAGCCACCGCTGGCCGGCACTAGCACAATCCCTAACCCTAACCCTTGATCTCGCTTCGTCCTCGCTGGATCCATCGTCGACCTCGCCGGATCCATGGTTTCTTCTCTGGATCCATCGGTTTCCTCGCCGGATCCATCCCTCATCGTCTGTGCTCGCGCGGATCCATGCCTCGTTGACCTCATCGGCGACTCTGGTGCTCCGGCTTTGAAGGTAAGTCCATAACCCTAACCCTAACCCTCAATCTGTACTAACCCTTGCTCTGTTCCAACCGACGAGTGGCGATGGTTGGATCCGACGACGAGACGCTTGAGGTCGGTTCCAACCAAGAGAGGCGGTTGTGCGGGTTGGCCGGAGATGATGACGAGGACGACCTGCGCGAGGACATGTAACTTTGTGTGACTTAGACTCTTTGATAAGTTCTTTGATTCTGATCAGTTTTTGATTCTGATCAGTTTGTGTGACTCTTTGATTCTGATCAGTTTGTGATTCTGAACATTTGTGATTCTGATTAGTTTGAAGTGTTGATCACTTATAGGGCCAGTGCCGGCACGACACTGCTGGGCCGCCGTGCCCAGTGACATGGCACGGCACGGCTAAGACCTGATAGTGCCGTGCCTAGGCCGGCACATCGGCACGGCGGTACTAATAGGCACGGCACAGCTAGTCTACCGTGCCGCATAGTGCCGTGCCTGGCCGTGCCCGTGCTAGTGCCGTGCCGTGAGGCCCGTTTGGCCAACTAGCACGCGGGCTCCTTTCCTTTGGGCTCGCAGCCTCGCCTCCATCGCCGCGTCATGGGCATCTGCGTCCGCCCATCCGCGTCGCTCCTCCTCCTCTAGGACCCTCACCCTCCCCCCACCGTCCTGTATCTCCTCTCCCTCCTCGCCTTGTTCCTGCAGGTCGCCATGGCCACGGCGGCCATGGACCCCGCCGAGCGGGAGATGCTGCTCTGCGTCATGGAGTCCGTCTCCGCCGACCGCGACTGGCGCGAGGCCGCCGGCGACGACCCCTGCAGCTCGCCGTGGCCGGGGCTCGAGTGCAGGCCCGAGACTACTCCCGGCGCCAATAACGGCGGCGCGGCGCGGATGCACGTCGCGCGCCTCGACTTCAAGGTGCCGCCCAACCCGACGTGCAAGGACACGACGACGTTCCCGGTGGCCGTGTTCGCGCTACCGGAGCTCCGTGCGCTGTTCCTCATCGGGTCCTTCAAGAACCCCGACGCCGTGGCCGCCTTCGCGCTGCCGCCGGCGTCCAACCTGTCGTCGTCGCGCCTGCAGCAGCTCAGCGTCCGCGCGAACCCGTCGCTGTCCGGCACGCTGCCGCCGCAACTGTCCAGCCTCCGGTCGCTGCAGGTGCTCGCTGCTCACCGTGTCGCAGAACGTGCTGGGCCGGGGCGTCGTTCCGTGGGGCATCGACGAGCTCACGGACCTCGTGCACCTCGACCTCAGCTACAAGCCTACAACTCCCTCACGGGCCCGATCACGAGCGTGCTCGGTGACCTGCGCGGCCTCGTCGACCTCGACCTTAGCTACAACTCCTTCTCTGACCTCAGCTCCAACAACCTCACCGGCGGCGTCCCGTCCGCCCTCACCCGCGTCAGGGCTCTCAGCAACAACGGCAGCTGGCTCTCACGTTCCTGGCGCTCAGCAACAAAGGGATGCGCGACTTCTGGTTTTCCGAATCGGCATAGGAGGATTTGGGGGGCGCGCACGAAAAGTTTTTTTGACAAGCGAATTGGTATTTTTAAGTGGTTATTATTAACAGATTTTGCTATGTCTTGATTTCTTTACTTCAGATAGTAGTTCTAGGCTAGTCTTAGGATTGCTTTATGTTGCTAAACTCTTTGGGTTAGATAACCAAATAACACTAGATGCACATCTTGTTTATTAGCTTGTTTAGTTCATCTAGTTTAGTTTGGATTGAGCCTTAGGAGTAGAAAATTTTTAGATGACCTAATTCACCCCCTCCAACATGATTAGTGTGATCTCTTGCTAAGGACATGATTAGTGTGATGGTCCTAAGGGCTCATTGGCTTGTGCCTTTGTAGAAGAACATAACGATCAAAGTTCTAAGGGGTTTTAGTTTTGCATAGGTTAAAGTTGTTGCTTTACATTTTTAGAGCCCAATTCAACAGCTGCCCCCCGGGTCTCTTTCTAGAAGTGTTGGTCGTGATGTCTTGATGGCTTTAGCTAAAGTTCGTCTGCAAGAGGATCAAGTCCTATTTCTGTGGTTAGATATTTGTCTAAAAAGGAATATCTTTCCTAGAAAAGGTGTACCATTTTTTTTGAAAAGACACATTTAAATAGAATCTCTTAAACCTATTCCTAATTAAGTTCAGGACGAGGTTCCCAATCTGGTTGGTGTTCCAACATCCCAAATCGAGGTGGCTCTAAACTCCAGTTTGCCTATACTTGAGTTCCTCTAGATCCTACTCGTCAGGATTACCGTGCTCTGTAGGTTGTTCGACATGTGTTCCATAGCACTTTCACTTCCTATCTTTTACCATCTTGGAATCATGTACCTTGCACGTGTGAAGTCAAAGTTGCTTCGTTGCTTTTGCGTCAAAGCTTGACAACAATGACACATGGTGTGTCCCGTCTGTGTGTTTGTCTTTATATGATAGCAGCTGACTATTGTGTGGGTATGAACGTGGGGTCATGTCTTTGTACCGAACTTCTTTTTTTCACAACTGGGCAGAGCTCTCGTCTTTTCATTAAAAAAAACACTCATGTGTGATTGGTAGTGCATGAGATTTCCTACAATAACTCGCTCGAAACAAATTATTGCCCACAAACTTGTTCTGGACATATCTCGAAATCTCAACTTACCCCTTTGTAGCCAAAATCTAAACGCTAATGCTTCACTACAGACGTCCATCCCACGTCTATCTCGTTCGGACACTAATGCTGGGCCTGCGGACCAGCCCACAGGCCTACTCCCCTCACTATAGCATACACGGTTTTCTCCAAAAAGAGAGAGAGCGATATTTTCCCCATCACACATCGGCTCCTACGCACCGTCCGCCCTTCGCTCATAATCTCCACGAGGCTGCTTGCCGCGGGCAGCAAGCCCGTCGACCGACTGGCGTTGCTTCCCGACCGCCGCTCACCCATGGAGAGGGAGACCATAGCCGCCCAACCGCCACTACCGCCTCCACCACAGGGGCCGAATGCCTGGTCGGCGGCCAGGAAGACCTCTGCCTCCACCTGCCCAGCTCACTGCGGCCGGGTGTGGAGCTCGCCTATGTGCAGCTCACGACAGCCAACGGCAGCCCGGACGGAGCTGCACACATCTCGTGCCCGCCTACCCAGTTTATTGTGGCCGGGACGGAGGTCGCCCGTGCGCAGCTCGCGACGGCCGGGATGAAACTGCACACGCTGACGAGGCTTCTTTCTCCCAACCGGCAAGGAGATGTTGCGCTGAAACTGCATGTTACAAGTGCCTATTTCAAGTGTTTCAATTGTTTCAGAGGTACGTTGTAAGTGTTTTATATCGATGTTGCAAAAGTAGATCGGGATGTTGCACATGTTGCAATGGTGTTTTCAAGTGTATGTCCTAAATGTTTCATCTGCTTCAGACGTATGTTGCAAGTGGTTCAAATGGATGTTGCAAAGTAGATCTGGATGTTGCATATACATACATATTGCAAGCATACGTTTCAAGTGTTTGTAGTGTTTCATACGTATGTTGCAACTGTTTCATCTGGATGTTGCATCTGTTTTGGAATGGCTACACACGTGTTTTCTTGTTGTTTTGGACGTATGTTGCAAGTGTTTCAATTGTTTCAAACGTATGGTACAATGTTTCATCTGCATGTTGCAAAAGTAAATCTAGTGTTGCACATGTTGCAGTGGGACCTAGCTACCGAGTTGCGCGTGGGAGCAGAGGGGACGCGAGTGGCATGTGCGAGCAACGGAGTGGGCGCAGATCAAGATGTGGCCCCACGTGGGCCCGCGCAAGCACGAGAAACGTAGCGACATGGGCCCCCATGTGATTGAGACGCGAACATGTGGGCGGGCGCAGCAGCATGCGTACACGGGGCGTGGGCGCATTAGGCGTGGATGTCTAGACGCTAGCCCCGTCCGGACGTCCGGGCGCTAGTGTAGGGGACCGTAATATCTAAGAGGGGGGTGAATTAGGCAACTTAAAAATCTAACTCTAAACTATGACCTCTTTTTCTAACCTTAGCAAAACTTATGCAAAAGATAAACTATCTAAATGTGCAACTATGGTTTTACTAGTGTGTTGCTATCTCTACCGCAAAGGGAGTAATACAACCAATATAACTGTGGAAGCTAAAGAGTAAGGTAGAGATATGCAAACTTCCATCGACGACTCTGGTATTTTTACCGAGGTATCAAGAAGCGCGCAAGCTTCCCCCTAGTCCTCGTTGGACCCCTCGCAAGGGCCAAGCTCCCGGTCGGGTAACTTCGTGGATAGCCTCGGGCCTTCCCCACGCGCAAGTGGGTGTCCGACGTGCCTTCCGACAAGCCTCTCCCGGATGCTCCCCGCCATCTTCACTATCAAGCTTTCGGCCGAAATGCCGCAGGCCTTGTTCCCTTCAATACACGGTGGCGGCCACACCACAAACGCGGTTGGTGTGATCTCGCAAGACTACAAGCCCCTCCGATGTACAACAATGGTGCGCGCAAGCACTGAGTGGTAAGAGGTATACAAACCTCACTAAACACTAGCCCTAAACCTAAAGCAAGCGCGTAAGCGGTGGTCTAATCAACCTAAACACTTCGCAAAACACCTACGCTAATCACCTAATAAAACACTAAGCACTATACAAGTGGAGATCACCAAAATGGTGTATCAACACCCTTGGTATGTTTCCTTAGCTCCACACTCTTTATTTGGACGGTTGGGGGTTGTATTTATAGGCCCCACTGAGAAAGTAGCCGTTGGGGATGAAATCTCGCTTTTCTACTACTGACCGGACGCTGATCACGTCCTGACCGGACATGTCCGGTTGTCCTGACCGTTAGAGCTGCGATCAACTGATCGGACGCTGCCAGCGTCCGGTCACATGCCACCGGACGCATCCGGTCGCAGTTTCGCCGCTCTGAAACCTCTCTGTACTCGATCGGACGTTGCAATTCTGCGTCCGGTCGATTTGCCGCCATTGTCCGGTCCAACGTCTGGTCGCTGCTGCTGACGCCTATTGCCGAGCTTCTTGATCAGAGCGTCCGGTTGCTTTCTGTCAGCGTTCGGTCCAGCGTCCGGTCACCTCTGTGAGCTCGTTTCTTCACGATCTTGCGTATGGCTTGGTTCCTATCTTCGTGCTTAGACTTTGCTTGATATCTTGGGTCTTCTCTTGTGCTCCTAGGGTCTTGCTTATGGTGTTGATCATCATATCATCACGTTGCCTTCGTCCAAGTCACGTCTTGCACCCTATTGGACTATGAAACAATCACTTGCAAATTTATTAGTCCAATTTGGTTGTGTTGGTCACCAATCACCAAAATCCAAAGTAAATAGGCCAAGAGTCCATTTTCCTTACAATCTCTCCCTTTTTGGTGATTGATGACAACACGACCAAAGCAAGCAAATAATAAAAATTTAGAATTTAAAAACTATCTACTTGCTAGGATGCAATGCAAGGGGCAAGGTTATATGATGCTAAAAGATACTACTTGTAAGACTAAAAGATACTACATAAAAACTTATCTTGCCCTTGCAAAGTGTCCCCATGTGGCATTATGGATTTAAGCCTTGCTTCCTACAAGTTCTCATTACATAGACTAATCCATAATCCACTATCCTCCCTTTCTCGGACCATTACCACTTGTAGACATCACTTATAGACCATTGCCACTTGTAAATTTTTTATGATCTAGCTTTTGGTCCTATAAATTAATGCTTGTTTTTTGTCCTCTAAATTCTCCCCCTTTGAAATCAAACACCAAAAAGGAAGACATTAGTAGCACAAGGGAGAGTCAAACTTTGTGATCCTTTATGTGTAGAGTGGAATAGGTCACAAAATTTGACTCTCATATTTTATAGATTAAGCTCTCCCTAAATATATGCATACATATGGTAGAAAGCAAGGCATATGCATATTTAGCAAATTATTGCTCAAGGGAATTTAATCTATATAATGCATGGAGAAAGCATATAAATATCAAAATAAAATCAACATGATGATATCGGTTTAGAAATACCATATGTGGAAACCAATTTGATTTCTACCACTTGCAATAGGTGGTGGATATTTGAAGTATGATGTTTAACTCCAGGGACTCCATTTTCCTTGCAATAAGACTATTACACACATGATAAGCTTGAAAATGTGTTAGTCTCAAAGCATCTAACTTATAGAGTAACCTCCTCCTAAATTTGTGCACATAAGTGTGGGATACTTGTAGAAGACATGCGCATTGATTTTAGAATCAATAATACCACTTGAAAGATGACATCTCATGAATGTGAGAATCATTTTCAAAGATGATATTCGGGAGAAATTATCTACAATTTGAACTTTGGCACATATTAGATGAACAATCAAAAGACAAGCTATGTGTCGTGCTCCTAAACAATTTTAAACCATGTAGGTTTGCGCCAAGGGTTAAGAATAAAACTGAGCAAGCCTACCATAAGGATATACCTAGTGTATGCATAACAAAGGATATAAGCATGCAAATACAAACATAGGCATGAAAAGTAACTAGATGCTTAAAGATACCAATTTGTAAGAAATACCACTTGTAGGAAATGTAAATTGATACTACTTGAAGGAAATTGAATCTAGTTACCTAATATGGGAAGCGGAATTTGG